GACTAGAGACCACCAAGGGAGGACCAGCTTGTGACAAATGGAGATTTTGGGGGGAGGTGTTGAGGGAGATGGTTTGCGAGGCAGACACGTGTGTGTGAAGCAGATCTGAGCAGATGAAGGAGCAGGTCTGTGGAGCAGGTCTGGAGAACCAAGGCAAGCCGAACTGGATGGTCATTTAAAGTGTTTGTTTAGAGTTGTGTGAGGGTTTGTTAAGCTGTGTGCCTCCATCTTTCTTCCCCTCCCTCCTCGACGGAACAGGGAGGTGTTTCTGCAAGGCATGCTGGGATAGCAGCAGGGGCGTGTCTGTGTCTCAGCCGGAGCAGGAGGGCTCCGCCTCCGCGACTGAAGACAACCAACCAGGAGCAGGAAGAGACTCCACCACAGGACAGGACCACCTGCTAACCTGGCTTTTAACAAATCAACCTTTTACAAAAACTATTTTAAAAAACTTGTCTTGTTTTTAGTGGAAACTGAACCACAAAAAAATAAGATCTGAGGAAACTATAAGAATATACAGTAACGACTTGTTCATTTTGTGATGTTTCTGCTCTTGTTTTGATTTCACTGCTGTTACTTTGAGTCCTTGTCTGTCTTTGTCAAGGAGGATTCTGTTGATTGCGAGGACTGGGCCCATGTTCCAGAACCACCCTACCTGCCTGCCTGCTCTCCATCTCCTCTGTAGCTTCTAGTCATCCAGCTGTCAGTCCTTCTATTGCTTTGTTTGTTATGCACCCTACCTGTAGCAGACATTCCATGTAGCTCCGCCAGTCAACTCGTCCTAAAGAGAGCAGGTCTGACATGAAGATGAATCCTCTGGACCTTTTAGTTCTGATCTTGGTTTGCGAAGTTAGTAGGCCGTCACTGCGTCGGATTAGTTCCCTTCTCATTCCCCAGTAAACATCCCATCATGTAAACGTGACACTCTCACTCTCCTGTTGTCTGTCCGTACCTGATATTAGCTTGAGATGAAATACAGGAGGTTTCCACTTATTACCGGTGCAGAACTTAAAAAACTACAATGTTGTACAAACTGAATATGCTGGGATGAAGTGTCATTGCAAAGTTTTTAATGGCACTGTGTTTAGAAATTCTGCTTCACTGTACTTTAAGATACTTATCAGAGCAATGTATTTAGCATTGCGTAATCATTTGTGTGTGTGCGCGCTTGTGAGAGAGAGAGAGAGAGAGAGAGAGAGACAGAGAGTGAGAGAGAGACAGAGAGAGAGAGAGAGACAGTGTAATGCATGTTTGAGAGGGTGTAGAGAGAAAGAGTGTTCATGTGTACAATATCTTCTGGTGACAAGAGTCAGACCTTAGAACATACTTAGAAGGGATTACAACCTTAGCCGGTCTCTAGGGGTTGTACTGTGGACAGACTAAGTCACACCAGACGTCTTGTCCTTTACTCCAGTAGCTGTTCGGACTGAGTTCATTCTTCTGCCTCTCTTTGTGTGTATGAGTGTGTGTTTTTAAGTCACATCAAGACGTATTCATGGAAAATGAATTTCAGAAACCCAGTTGCATATTTTGATGAAATATAATGTTTTTTAATTAAATTGACCAACATTTGTACTCCGCAATTTCTGTGTCTCTCTCATTTAATTGGATCAGTTCTTGGGAGTAGAAGGGCCGCTGGGGTTTCAATTAGAAGGTAAAAGCAGAACTAAATGGAATGACTGATGTTTGACATACCCAACTAGACTACTTGGGAAACAGAATTCTAGCTTCCCTATGATATGACCTATCCAATACAGAGGTTACTGTACACTTTTCAAAACACGTTGATTACCATAGAAGTTGGGAAGTAGTTTGGTGATGCTGTAAACAAATATTTTTCACGCGCTGGCGCTGTAGACAGATATATCCGCTAATACAGGACTATTAAAGGCCCAGTGCACTGCTTTTGTAAAAAAAAAAAAAATCTATATATCTGTATATTTTTTAAAATAATATACTGTATCTTTTTTTATTGTGATTTTTCAGAGGGTTCTGCAGCACCCCTACTTCCTGTGAATCTAGCTATAGATTCTATACCACATAGGTGTGAAGAACAACAGGGTCATGCTCAGAAGGCACCTCCTGTTTTGTACCTACTGACCACGACCCTGATTGAGGTTCAGAGTCAGAGCACACTGGCATTGTGTTGTTGTGGGTTTACAGGATGTTGACCCTAGTCTGCAGCTGTGGAGGAAGACATGTGCTCTCCACTTCCTTCGTGGGGTTTCCACCCTTTGGAAAGACAATGAAAAACAGGGAAGCAGCTTTGTGAGCGTAGTTCCATATTTCCTTTCATCTGCTGACGGAGAGAGTAAATCACTTTATTGCATCACCGTAGAGAGAGATGGACCTTTTGTCCATGTTGGGAAGACTAAATATTCTGCATGTTTACGCATTAGCCTGGACACCCTTGGCACGCAAACCACCAGCCACTCTCCTGTTCATGAGTCTGCCTGTGGACCTACAGTCCATTCAGAAAGTATTCAAACCCCTTTTTCCACATTTTGTTACGTTACAGCCTTATTCTAAAATGGATTTTTTTAAATCCTCATTAATCTACACACTGCCCCATAATGACAAAGCGAAAACAGGTTTTTAGAAATGTTTGCAAATGTATAAAAATTAAATAAAAATTCAGACCCTTAGCTATGAGACTCTAAATTGACCTCAGGTCCATCCTGTTTCCATTGATCATCCTTAAGATGTTTCTACAACTTGATTGGTGTCCACCTGTGGTCAATTAAATTGATTGGACATGATTTGGAAAGGCACACACCTGTTTATATAAGGTCCCACAGTCGACAGTGCACGTCAGAGCAAAAACCAAGCCATGAGGTCGAAGGAATTGTCCGTAGAGCTCCGAGACAGGATTCTGTCGAGGGGAAGGGTACCAACATTTTACATTTTAGTGATCCAATTGACATTTTAGTCATTTAGCAGAAGCTCTTATCCAGAGTGACATACAATTAGTGAGTGCATACATTTTTCATACTGGCCCCCCGTGGGAAACAAACCCACAACCCTTGCGTTGCAAGCGCCGTGCTCTACCAAGAACACAGTGGCCTCCATCTTCCATCCATTCTTAAACTGAAGAAGTTTGGAACCACCAAGACTCTTCCTAGAGCTGGCCCGGCCAAACTGAGCAATCGGGGGAGAAGGGCCTTGGTCAGGGAGGTGACCAAGAACCCGATGGTCACTCTGACAGAGCTCCAGAGTTCCTTTGTGGAGATGGGAGAACCTTCCAGAAGGACAACCATCTCTGCAGCACTCCACCAATCAGGCCTTTATGGTAGAGTGGCCAGACGGAAGCCACTCCTCAGTAAAAGGCACATGACAGCCTGCTTGGAGTTTGCCAAAAGGCAGCTAAAGGACTCTCAGACCATGAGAAACAAGATTCTCTGGTCTGATGAAACCAAGATTGAACTCTTTGGCCTGAATGCCAAGCGTCATGTCTGGAGGAAACCTGGCACCATCTCTATGGTGAAGCATGGTGGTGGCAGCCTCATGCTGTGGGGATGTTTTTCAGCGGTAGGGACTGGGAGACTAGTCAGGTTTGATGAACAGAGCGAAGTACAGAGAGATCCTTGATGAAAACCTGCTCCAGAGCGCTCAGGACCTCAGACTGGGGTGAAGGTTCACCTTCCAACAGAACAACGACCCTAAGCACACAGCCAAGACAACGTAGGAGTGGCTTTGGAACAAGTCTCTGAATGTCCTTGAGTGGCCCTGCCAGAACCCAGACTTGAACCTGATCTATCTCTGGAGAGACCTGAAAATAGCTGTGCAGCGACGCTCCCCATCCAACCTGACAGAGTTTGAGAGGATCTGCAGAGAAGAATGGGAGTAACTCCCCAAATACAGGTGTGCCAAGGTTGTAGCATCATACCCAAGAATACACAAGGCTGTAATCTCTTCCAAAGGTGCTTTAACAAAGTACTGAGTAAAGGGTCTGAATACTTACGTAAATGTGATATTTCCGTTTATTTTTTATTTATTTTTGGCAAAATGTTCACAAAACCTGTTTTTACTTTGTCATTATAGGTTATTATGTGTAGATTGATGAGGGGGGGGGACTATTTAATCAATTTCAGAATAAGGCTGTAGCGTAACAAATTGTGGAAAAAGTCAAGGGGTCTGAATACTTTCCGAATGCACTGTAATCCTGGTTTTAAAAGAGATTTAAACAGGAGACTACACCAAACTGTTTACAAATCTAACTGGCTTATCTTTGACCATTTACAGTAATAAGGTCAGTAATTTCATGCAAGAGGAACTCTGCTGTGAGCCATAAATGATCAGTTGTTTAACTTGTGAACCCCTGCCCTCTTAATATTTTCATACTTTAAATACATCCTATTATTTGTCAGATGAAAAGCATCAGGAATTTCCCCTGCCCATGTGAAAGCCTGGTATGATGTATTGGTGGAGGGAAAACCAGAGAAGATGCTCTGATATTACATTTACATTTTAGTAATTTAACTTTTATCCAGAGCTACTGAGTGCATTCACCTTAAGATAGCTAGGTGGGACATAGTAAGTAAATTTTGTCTCAATAAAGTAGCTATCAGCAAAGTCAGTGCTAGTAGGGGAAAAAGTGTGAGTGTTAGTTCATGAAATGCAAGGATGTTACTTATTAAAATATTTTTAAAATTATTGTTGGAAGTTTGTTCTCATCAATGATTATTTTTTTCTCTCACATTGTACTGGTAAGTACCAATGATGTGCTATAAATAAACCCTGGATTGCTGATGCTATGTATTGGCCATTGAGAGGCTTTGAAGCCACTGGTCGGCCATATTGGCAATCCCCAGTAGGAGCAGTCCCCCATAGGAATGAATGTAATTCTACAGTATTTCAATTAAATGTCTCAAGGAAAAAATGACATGTATTTAAGTATTTTTTGTTGTTGTGGTGGGAACAGTAGCATTAGAACTTTCGATTTAAGGAAAAAAATATATACACTTTAAAAAATGCATTTCTATAGCTTCCAGGGGAGTGCCAAGATGGAGGTGTGGTGGCTTCAAAACAGCGCCCCCTGTTAGTCATTTAGTGTATATATAAATTATTGGTACGTACTTACACTGAGTGCACAAAACATTAGGATCACCTGCTCCTTCCATGACATAAACTGACCAGGTGAATCCAGGTTAAATCCACTTCAATCGGTGTAGATGAAGGGGAGGAGACAGGTTAAAGAAGGATTTTTAAGCCTTGAGACAATTGAGACATGGATTGTGTATGTGTGACATTCAGAGGGTGAATGGGCAAGTCAAAAGATGTAAGTGCCGTTGAACAGGATATGGTACACAGGAGGTTGGTGGCACCTTAATTAGGGAGGACGGGCTCATGGTAATGGCTGGAGCGGAATAGGTGGAATGGTATCAGATACAACAAACACATGGTTTCCATGGTTTCCAGGTGTTTGATGTCATTCCATTCGCTCCGTTCCAGCTATTATTATGAGCCGTCCCTCCCCTCAGCAGCCTCCACTGGTATGGTAGTAGGTGCCAGAAGCACCGGTTTGAATGTGTCAAGAACTGCAACACAGCTCAGTTTTTCATGCTCAACAGTTTCCCGTGTGTAATTGGAGTGTATGACATTGAGAGAGGCACTCCGACATCTACAGCGACACCTCAGAGGAAGTCATTGGGAAAGACTATAATGCTCTCAGCTCGCCTCTCCCTTGCAATTAGTCTGATGGCATAATCCGTTCCTCTGTAAACGGATGCCATATCTAATCAACATGCTAAAACAAGGCTAATTAGTAGGCCATCTCATCTGGGGGAGGATGCTGCTGCTGCTACTGATCTCTACCCTGCATCCGAATGGTTCCTAATGGAGCCAAAATGGAGGAGTCAAAGAAAGCACAGAGTGAGATTAATTCCCCAGCTTGTTTTATAAAACAATCACGATTTGATTTGTCAGGGGTCTTTACTGTAAAAACATAAACTCTGATTATGTTAATTAGACTCTAAATGGGTGACTGAATGTCTCTGGATAAGATATTCAAAAAAATAAATCACACAAAAGAGTGTTTAAATTGAAGAAAACCTTGAATTAACATCTTTTAGATATTATCAGTGTGGATGTGGAATATTTTCTAACCAGTGTCCCGTGCTGAGGTAACCTACAGTGAGGGAAAAAAGTATTTGATCCCCTGCTGATTTTGTACGTTTGTCCACTGACAAAGAAATGATCAGTCTATCATTTGAATGGTAGGTTTATTTGAACAGTGAGCGACAGAATAACAACAAAAAAATCCAGAAAAACGAGTGTCAAAAATGTTATAAATTGATTTACATTTTAATGAGGGAAATAAGTATTTGACACCCTCTCAATCAGAAAGATTTCTGGCTCCCAGGTGTCTTTTATACAGGTAACGAGCTGATATTAGGAGCACACTCTTAAAGGGAGTGCTCCTAATCACTGCTTGTTATATGTATAAAAGACATCTGTCCACAGAAGCAATCAATCAATCAGATTCCAAACTCTCCACCATGGCCAAGACCAAAGAGCTCTCCAAGGATGTCAGGGACAAGATTGTAGACCTACACAAGGCTGGAATGGGCTACAAGACCATCGCCAAGCAGCTTGGTGAGAAGGTGACAACAGTTGGTGCGATCATTCGCAAATGGAAGAAACACAAAAGAACTGTCAATCTCCCTCGGCCTGGGGCTCCATGCAAGATCTCACCTCGTGGAGTTGCAATGATCATGAGAACGGTGAGGAATCAGCCCAGAACTACACGGGAGGATCTTGTCAATGATCTCAAGGCAGCTGTGACCATAGTCACCAAGAAAACAATTGGTAACACACTACGACGTGAAGGACTGAAATCCTGCAAAAGAAAGCACATATACAGGGCCATCTGAAGTTTGCCAATGAACATCTGAATGATTCAGAGGAGAACTGGGTGAAAGTGTTGTGGTCAGATGAGACCAAAATCGAGCTCTTTGGCATCAACTCAACTCGCCGTGTTTGGAGGAGGAGGAATGCTGCCTATGACCCCAAGAACACCATCCCCACCGTCAAACATGGACGTGGAAACATTATGCTTTGGGGGTGTTTTTCTGCTAAGGGGACAGGACGGGGCCATGTACCGTCAAATCTTGGGTGAGAACCTCCTTCCCTCAGCCAGGGCATTGAAAATAGGTCGTAGATGGGTATTCCAGCATGACAATGACCCAAAACAAACGACCAAGGCAACAAAGGAGTGGCTCAAGAAGAAGCACATTAAGGTCCTGGAGTGGCCTAGCCAGTCTCCAGACCTTAATCCCATAGAAAATCTGTGGAGGGAGCTGAAGGTTCGAGTTGCCAAACGTCAGCCTCGAAACCTTAATGACTTGGAGAAGATCTGCAAAGAGGAGTGGAACAAAATCCCTCCTGAGATGTGTGCAAACCTGGTGGCCAACTTCAAGAAACGTCTGACCTCTGTGATTGCCAACAAGGATTTTGTTTTGCAGAGGGGTCAAATACTTATTTCCCTCATTAAAATGCAAATCAATTTATAACATTTTTGAAATGCGTTTTTCTTGATTTTTTTGTTGTTATTCTGTCTCTCACTGTTCAAATAAACCTACCATTAAAATTATAGACTGATCATGTGTTTGTCAGTGGGCAAACGTACAAAATCAGCAGGGGATCAAATACTTTTTTCCCCTCACTGTATGTGAGAGCTGTTTGACTAAAGAGTTTGATAGATGAGGGGGAACTGAAGTGGAACTGTGTGGTAATGTGGATTTGATTCCTGCTCCATCAAGCATGTGGCTAAATATATTAAAGGCCAATTCATTTTGTGGAAATCCCTGAAAATAGTACTGATGGTTTCCACTTGTGGTACAGTAAAACCCCTGAAGGGCAATCTACTTTCACACTCCTTCTCAAACTGGAGTGTTCACTATGCAGCTGATCGACTGTTTAGTCTCTTTACCTCACAATCTATGGATTCTTACCTGTGTGTATACTTACAAATGGACTATGTATAGCTATTAAAAAACACATCTAGGAACCCCCTACACAAAGACAAAGTTCCCTATTGCAGGCGACACGACTCAAGCGTAGGTAGATACTAGGTAGGCACATGACTCTCACCTCAACCCACCCATTTCCAGTTTCCCTTAGTCTCTTTGTCCTCTTTAGTCTCAGTGTTCTACGTCCTGAGTTGCTGTCCTAACCTCAATTCACACAAATGTTCTCTTAAGTCTGGGTGCAAACCTGACTTGTTGTGTGATGTAGCACAGCTAGGATGTAGCCCATGGATGTAGCCCATGGATGTAGCCCATGGATGTAGCCTATGGATGTAGCCCATGGATGTAGCCCATGGATGTAGCCCATGGATGTAGCCCATGGATGTAGCCCATGGATGTAGCCCATGGATGTAGCCCATGGATGTAGCCCATGGATGTAGCCCATGGATGTAGCCTATGGATGTAGCCCATGGATGTAGCCCATGGATGTAGCCCATGGCTGTAGCCTATGGATGTAGCCCACAGTAAGAACCAAGTCATGCCCCTTCAGAAAGAGAAACTTGTGTGGGATCTTGGGATGATTTATTCACACTACAGTACTGTATAGCAGAGCAGAGGTCAATAGAGTTTTGTATGTGCTGACAAAGCACATTTCCCTCAAGAAATATTTTTTTCATCATAAGGAAGGACAGCTCATGCAATCATGCATAAATAAAAAAGCACATGCTTCCTGAATCCTGCTCTAGTGAACTTTATTTAGGGGATTTGAGAGTACACACGCGTTTCCTACTGAAGAACCATATGGAACCCAAACCACACATCACAATGCTCTCCTGTCCAACTTAGACCAAAGTGGGAATGAGTTAACCCATACCGCTGCTGCCACAGGACTTGTGACCAGGTCACTGGCTGATGACTGGATTGCTCTTAGGTAGTGACATCAGTCACCAAACCACAGAAATCCCAAAAATAAGGCCTTCCATTCAGCAGTCTAGTTCTTACCTTAACTGACCACACATTCTCAAACCCTGAATGTCATTTATAAACACTGATAGGTGATCAGTTCCTCTAACCTGGCAGGCTTCACTTCTGTTCCGCTGAGATATAAATACTGGCTGGGTCGACATGACAATACTACAATCCAGCCAGGAGCACACTCCGCTCATATCTCATTATCAAGGTAAGATATGACATACTACTACAGTATGGCCTATTGATTGAAGCATATTTAACTTTGTCTGGTTCAGGAGAACATCATTAACATTTAGATACAATACATATCAATAGACATTAACTTAAAGTACTCTTGTTTTTCTGTCTGCCAGATGAACATGTTACTATACAACGTCCTGTATCTCATCCTTCATGTGGCGTCAAGCAGCCAACATGGGACGGAGACCATTGAGACTCTCATGCCAAATGGTGACTGTTTCAGCCTATTTATCTCTCATCTTTACCCGTCTACTCCTCCTGACATATACACTCTCTACTTCTGATTGAATAACTTACACTGTCATAATATTAATATGTTGGAGACTAATGAAATTCAAACATTTGTATAAAACAAACTTTCAACATGAAGGCTGTACTAAAACATTGGTGGCCATGTGGTTCCCAGTGCTCGTGGTGAAGGTGGATCTGAGGGTCTTCACTGAGACGCAGGTCCCTCTTCTCTGTGGGGACTCCTATCAGGACACAGAGGTGATCTGGAGGAAGGGCAGTGAGCGTGTAGGACAAGGGAACCAGATCAAGGTGAAAGTGGTGGAGATGATTGGAGGGAACTACAGCTGTCACAACGCTGCTGGAGACTACCTCAACCACACCCTGGTGCTGGTGCAGGACATCCAATCACCCAACAGACGGAGACGCGTCCTGGAGAAGTCACATGACACAGATGAGGATGGTGTGTGTTTGTGTGTGTATATGTATGTGTGTGTGTGTGTGTGAGAGAGAGAGAGAGAGAGAGAGAGAGAGAGAGAGAGAGAGAGAGAGAGAGAGAGAGAGAGAGAGAGAGAGAGAGAGAGAGAGAGAGAGAGAGAGAGAGAGAGAGAGAGAGAGAGAGAGAGATAGAAAGAGAGAATAATAATTTCTCAATTTCCCTCCCTCTCTCATTTTGTTTCTCTTTTTACCCAGAGTACATAAGATGTTTGGCAAAAAATTACAATGGAACATTTCATTGCTATTGGAAGAAGACTGAGCATCGGATGTCAGCAGTTGTTGTTCTGGTCCAAGTAGGACAGTAAGTCTTCAAACATACAGTAGATTAATTTTGTATGACCAATGGGCTGCTCTCATGTACTGATGGTTACATCATTTGATCTTGTCACATGAATGATGCTATTCGAAGTGAATACTACAACAGTGCAAACGCTCTCTCCACTGACACTGACTCTCTGTGAAGAGCTTTTGATTTGTTATGTTTGAACATCAGGCTTCTTTCAGAGAGTGAGAAGTCCCAAGGCTAACCAGGAGATTTGTGTCCCTCATTCAGGCTCTCTGGCAGCAACTTCTCCTGCTCTGTACACGGTGATGGTGCAGGTTTGACCTGTGACGATCTGGACAGCTGTTCCTTTGCTGAGGAGGTGTCCCGTATCGACCTGACCGTCTACTTCAGGACCAACTACCTCCTAGAGGACTACACCGTTACACCCTTCTACATACGAGAAATAGGTACAGTAAGGCCAAGGCAAACATGTCCTCCGCACTCATTCACTGGAAATAGCATTGTCACATCATCCAGGTATAACTTAATATACAGTACATCTCATTCCATCCTTGTTTTAGGTAGACATGCTTTCTGTTGTATATCATAAGATTCACATGGCCACCACTTCAGTAATATAGGTTCTGTCTGGTCTCCTTCTCTCCCTCATCAGTGAAGACAGACAAGATCCACATCACCAAGGTGGAGGGGAACACCTTTGAGTGGGGGTACCCTGCGACGTGGAGCCTCCCCCATTCTTACTACCCCCTCACATTCCAGGTCAAAGTGGTCCACCTCGGGGCAAGCTGTGACTCTGAAAAACAGGTAGAAGCCCATTTTTATGCAACAATTTTGTCCTTGAAATTCTCAATATCGTGATGTGTCTTGATTGACACTTTAATCTGGTCTGTGATACTTGGCCAATCTTTACAATCATTACTTTTACAATATGGTACTCTATAATTGAAACTTCATACATTAATTAATGTGTAGAAGAACATTGGCACCAGGGATTAAATTCTAAGGTGAAGGTACATTCTCTCCTCTTCGATATAGGTGTTTCTGATGGAAACCAAAGAAACAAAGTTTACCCTCAATCACAGCCCCAAGAAGTATCGTTTCTGCCTCCGGGCGAAGGATAAACTGGTTGACTGCCCCTGGTGTCAGTGGACCCATCATGAGTGAGTAGAGTCTTTTTCACTGTCCTCTAGCTCCAATACACAACTTCATGAGAAGTTTAGGAATGTCAAACTTTCAACAGTGCTGAACTGTGCCTAGACGAAAGGGTTGTGACTGTCTGTCTTTGTACAACAGGGTGAAGCATAAACACAAGAGAAATCGACAGGTATAGATGGCTCAACCTCTAACATTTTAATAGTAAGTTATTTCAACATCATATTTCGGTTCATGTGAAGTTTGAAGAAAAATATCTAATTTCTGTCTCTTTACAGTAAAAAGGAAAGCAAACCCAGATGAAGACAGACAACATGACATCACGCAGCTTCAACCATCACAACCAAATATGGAATTGTCTTGGCACTGAACAGATATATATATATTTTTAAACATTATACTTTAGAGAATAAGTTATGCAATGTCGTATACTATGATTGTTGTAATTTGAATGTAAGGCAAGTATATATTTATTAATTTATAATAGTTCTGAAATGTAACCACACCATGATTTATGTTATTTATCTCTTACGTTTTTTCATTACTGTTGCATGAAGATTTGTCTAAATGATGAAATAGACGCAAAAATAAAAGGTCCTGCACTCGGATACTGATGTGTATTTTTAATGGACTATGAGATAAAACTGGGGTAATCACAAACATAGTTAGAATTCTTTGTTACTGGGCCAGGAATTTAATTGGGTCATTTCACTGTGTGTGTGGGGGGTAAAGAGGCAATCTGACCTAGGGTCAAATTGCTCGCTCTTACTTAAATCCATGACTGTCTTATCTCACCAGAGACTGAAACTAGCTTGTGGCCTTTTGTTTCTCTCTTCAAACACAGTGAAAGGAGCGGCACCAGGGTTGAATGGAGTTTGGGCTAGACCTTTGTCTCTCCTTGGCTATCTTCTTGATTGATTACAGCATGATGGGGTGGGGTTGGTGTATGTTTCAAGGATTTAGGGACCTGTTATGTCCAACAATCGGTCTTCAGGTTAATCCCGGGAGAGCCGGGGTTGAACAGAGTTTAAACTAAACATGAGTGTTTTTGCAAGACAGGGGAGAGATTGATTGTAGTACTATGTGATTCTGAACATAATGAAAGTCGATTTTAGCCGCCCTCAGAGACAAAGGAAGTGGGCGGAGTGATAAAGAGCGGGAAACTGAAGAGGGAGGGATTTTGAGCTGGAAGAGAGGTGGATGGGCTATATAACTGGGGGAGAGAGAGAAAAAGGGGGGCTACTCTGCAGACTGGCCTGGCTTTGTTGAAACTCTAATAAAGTAATTTTTGTTGCAACAAAAACTCTGGAAGTACTTAGATTTTTTATAAAGTATAGTGATTAATTTCCACAACAATACATGCCCCTGTTCACTTGTTAGCCATGCATCTGAATCAGCAAATCGTAATTTGCATACTTTTTGGGATGATTACTTGTCAAGGCACTATAATTAGTTTTTACAATGCTTACACTAATGAAACTGACTGTGTATAAAAATCGACTGGAAAAGCAGCTTTTGTAAAAAATATTTTATTTACAGTCGGGATATGCTCACAACAGGAATCCGGTGCCCACTTGTTAAAACATGTTCATGTTGTCTGACATGCAACAGTCTGCAAATTAAATATCACAGGATACAACAAATGTGACGGTTTCCTCATCTTTTACAAATCAAGTTATTGTGAAGAAAACTTAACTGAGGTAACAAATATGACAAGCTGACAACTAAACCAATAATAGTTTGAGTCTGCTAGATGACTGAATGTCATGTAAATGTTGAGTGGCTTCACTGCAGGTAGATTGTATGATTTAATATTCAATAATACAAAATAAATATCAATAGATTTTTCATTGTTTGAAAAGTGCTGCTTCAGCGACAGACATGATGTACTATTGTCAGTCATCCAGGTGTGTATTCAGTGCCTGGGATGCGTGGGTAAGGACACACAGCTTGTTAAATGATAGTGCCTTCATTTGACAACTGAAATGCTTATTTACACATTTTCCTTTGACATCCAACATGAAGGTAGCAAAACATTCTTTACTAGAAATCAAAGTAGTAAGGAAGTCTGTGTAAAATAAATATTTGACAATCTAAAACAGAAATAACAAGAGTTGAAAATATTCTGTAAACCCTGACATTGATTAATTTCCTCTGATAGCAGTCACTCTTTAGATTATTGCATAACTTCGCAGGATGACGTGAGAGAATTGACGCTCTAGTGTTACAGCCAATGGATAAAGCAAATGTTAGCAAATATTTCATTACTGTCAAATATTTGCCTTTTAAAGAGAAAACTAGTAACGGATAAAAAAGGTGTGACTCAATGCTCTGAACCATATCCCTTTTTTCCAACTGAAAATATTAAATACTATTTACAAATAAACCTCATACAAAATCAGAGAAGTCTGATCTGAGTTTAGTGTCTAGTGCTTGGGCTGAGCCTGCCAAACAACACAATGCCTTTAATTGTCCAAAAACAATGTAAGTGCCTTTTTCCCCCAGTTATTTTCAATCATTCTACTACAACAAGTATTGTTTGGTTTAGTGGACCTAACAATTGCCTGAGAATATGAAAAAGAAGGTGTTTCAGTTCAAATCAAAGTTAGGTCAAATGCATATTTAAAAAAAATACTGTCTAACCACGTGCAGAGATATATTTGGTTTCCAGGCAGGCATAGCTGATGTCAGCAGACAATGACAATCTAAAACTGCCTGATGGACAACGTCATCCGTCTCCTTCAGAAACGACCTCTGTGACAAGCAGCAGTATATGGAGGTCACCATCCTAATAGAGGCCTAATCCACCTCAGTGATTAGTTAAGTAACCTGTCACACAACTTTACCTCAGTGTACTCGGTAACACTCAGTTACTGTACCAGCTTTGCTCTATCTACTTGGTATGGTGTTGCCATAGGGGAGAGAGCCAGGGGGAGTGGAGAGAGAGAATACATAACAGTATCAGTACAGAACAAACTCATGTTCGTATAACTGAGTTTAAGTGTCATAGCTACAGATGACAGAGTCACTGCTGTGAAAGAGCGACTGGGTGAAACCTAACAAAATCCATTGCATGTAAACTGAGTACTGAGATTTTGTATAGTATTTACCGTGTCTCCCGGACTGAAGTCAACAGAGAAAGACAGAGATGAGGGGGAAGAACAGAAGTAAATAAAACACGCCATACAATGGGAAACAGCAGCAGTAGTTTGGTGAGGGCTTGAGTGTCCTGCCCTGTTCCTGGTTGAGGAATGATGATCCCTTCACACATCCACAACAACGCTCTCACTGGCTCGGTTTCTTTGCGCGATACCTGCGGACATACACAACACAACAATGATCACAAAGCAATTATCATCTAGTTTAAAACAAAAGTCAGTAATGAAGCAGCAAAAAAAAGGTGTGCTAAGACAGAGTCAGTAGCAGAATCATATTTCCGTAACCTTACCTCTCCCAATGCTTATGGTTGAGACAAGAGAAGTCCTCCAGTTTGGCAATCTCCTTAAGATACTGAGACAGTTTGAAGAGCTCTTTGTCTTTTTCACGGTTTAAGTGCGCTTTCATGAATGGACGAATCTAAAGGAGGGGGAAAAAAACATTGAAAATGTGTTGTATCAAAATTCACACCATAATGACAGCTGACACCTGGAAGACTCAAGGAGGCTTTGGTAGGGTTACTTATTGAAAACGGACATTAAAATGCACAGTCCAAATGCACGCTAGTTTGCTATTGTCCAAACGCACGCTAGTTTGCAATTGACCTGTTAAAGCCGTCGCACTTCTATTTTCAAACCCTAGCGCCAGGATTGGTAATGTACCTCTCTTATATGAGCTCGCTTACGCTGAGGTGGGAGGGGTGGCAATATGTGAGGTGTGTTCTTAAAATCATGCTCCAAAGTGCCAATTTCAGGCAGCACTGGTGGGGATATTTAAGACCAACCAGAAGCTGGTCTTAGCGGTAACGATGGGCGGACCTATAGCGCTGCCATACCATTGCGTTAGATTTGTTCAAATAGAGCCCAGAGTCTCAAACAAACGGTGGTCTCTTATAATGGCCGGCCATCTCATTTTAGTAAATATACCCCAGCCTCTAATTAGTGTCGGGGGTCCAAAGAAGTGTAATTACACGCGCATGCATTTTACTGGTCTGCTCTGGTGGATTTACAGCACCTCTACCTCTGTCAAAACGCAAGTCTGTCCATGTAACCAGTGAGGAGAACTGATTAGTTCACCCCTTTGGTAACACTTGCAACGCGTTATAATGCAATAAGTGCTATAAATATCAAACTGTACTGATGGATGACAATGTCTGTTTTGATCAACCTGTAGAGTTAGAAACCCTAATTATAACGTGGGTGAGCTGGGCTTTCCACACCTCCAATGGTAAGCAAAGAAACGCCCGGTCTAGTAATGGAAGTTCTACCATAACTTACCTTCAGTCCGTTCTGTGGGTTCATAAGGAAATTTCTGCCAATGTCGTCGAACATGATAGTGTTCCTCTTGCTGTAGAACTCACTGTACTTTCCCCATATCACCCCTAGAGGCTTCACCTGAAACACGCCCACCACAACACTGACTTGAGGCAGTTCCATAAGGCGACTGGGACATGAATCAGTGGGATTTATGAGGGTTGTATGCTCCAGTGTAGGCCCACTCACCTCCACTACACCCCTCTTAGGCGTGTGCACGGTGATCATGGCTGCACTGTCCAGCATGAAGGTGATCTTGTAGTTGGGGTTGTCCGTCACTCCCAGCTCCTGAGAAACCAGAGGGCACGGCGAGACGGTCACATACACCACAACAGGAAGGCAACATCTGATCTGACGCTCGACACTACAGGTCAATCCCGCATATTAAATCACTGCTACTCAATATGCATGTGTTTAGCGCTCAATGGAGGTTGTGAAAACTCTTCTGGGGAAACTGCCCCTTTCTGGCCATGAAGAGCCAACAAATGAATTGAGACTGATACAAAATCAACATATCAAAAGGGAATACTTACTTTCATTTTAGCATCAATCCACTTCATACTCGTGGCAGCTAGAACAAATTAAACACAAATTACTGCGAGTTACCTTGAACGTTCCATTTACATCAAAACAAGCAGTTTGGTACTTACACCAGATGACGATGTCATAGTCCTCGTACGCCGAGGTCAGGAACTCATGGAGAAAAGGCCTCATGAGCTCTTGTCCCGTCTCTGCACATGACTTGTGATCTGGAATGAAACAAATCACAGAGAAACATGCTCAAACGTTTGAAAAAAAACAAACAGCATAAGGACAATGGTATAAAATCATTCAATAACATTCTACATTCTTAAAATCTCAAATGTGTTTCATATTTAGAAATGGTGTAATTATGAATGACTTCATCAGGCAAACAGCAGGTGCCCAGGGCAGTTTTGATGTTCTTCCTACTCACCAAACAACGTGTAGTCCACATCTAGTACTAGCAGCCTCTTTCCTGCCCTGGGTGGGTTCATCCCCTCCACTTTGTAGTCTTTGACACGGCGGGCTATCTTGGCCAAGTTCTCCTCTCTAAAGAAAACAAAAGGGCATTAAGTTAAAACAAGACATTGGACTGACTACGCCATCTTAGAAAACATACCGTAGAGTGCCAAGCGAAGTTTGAGCAAAATCAATTCATTACTTGCATGACTGAAGCTACAGTATAAATTAGTTGTATCTGCAAAGTCCTACTGCACCTGTTCTGTACTTCAATCACCTCTTCTTCAATGTCAAAGTCATTGACAACGTCATCATTCTCTGGGGGAGGTGCTAAAACTTCTTCCTTCACAAAACAAAACGAAGCGATTGAGTGTTATGAGGCCTAGGTCTTAGACATGCTAAAGTTAGGAAAATAAACTCTCTACAAGTCAGTCCTTGTCTTGACATTGCTTCTGGTAAACAGCTGGAAGCAGGCTTCACCAATCACAGTCCCGGGTGTGGAATGGTTCACCATACAGTTTAGTGGAAGGAAGAGGAACCCACCAGACTCTCCTCCCTGCTGCCCATCATCATGATCTTGGTATTGGGCTTCAGCTTCAGTGAACCCAGCTTCACTTGGTCCTCTGCTGGTTTACCTGGGAGAGAGACTGAACCATTAAGATGTGATGACTCCAGACAGCTCAGAAAAAAGCAGAAATCCACAATGGTGTGAAGCATGTGAAGGAAAATACTTCCATACGATCTGTGCTGCACATGTCAATTAGCTCTCAAACACAGTAAAACAGTTATTGGTATTGGCCTTTACACCTGCAATCCACAGATGGGTCTTACCTTTTACCTTTAATCCTAGGAGTTTCTGCCTCTCTGGGAGAACTCCTGTCAGGGACTTGATGGACTGCTTGAGGTCCAGCACAGTGTCCTCTTCGGAGAGTGTACTGATGGAGTACTCCTGCCCTCCCCATTTAATGATCACAGATACAGACATGCTGGTGCAAACCTCCTGCAACACCTGTAAGAGATCACAATGGCAACAATCAGATAGCTAGCTACACATCCAGAAACCACGACAGGATAGCAATCTTATTGGAGATTCATGTCTTCCAGTACTTTGCAATGAAAACAAGTTCTAAATTAAGTTTAATCTGGCTACCATATAGTATGTTAGCTAGCTACCTAGGTTAGGGATTGCTTGTAGTATCTTTGTAGATAGATTCAGCCCACGCCATTCAGTAAGTTAGCTAGCTAACGTTAGCTGGATAGCTAGGTAGCTAGTTATTAGCCGCAATTTATCAATCACTCAGATGCAATCTGATCAAATAATGATTGCAAAAATGTACATAATGCCTGGCATTACTAACAAAAAAAACTTGCGTGTCTCTCATTCATCCAACTCGAGCAAGCTAATTCAAGGGCCTGCCAGCCATGCATGGACTGTTATTTTTAGAAGAACAAAGTCAAAGGCAATCAGATGCGCATTCATACCTAAAAATTGCGCTGTGCCACAAATCCTTTCGTGTCTGTGGTGTGCAGGAACGCGTACTACGACGTGTAATAAATGTATAAAGTAAGTGATTTCTTAAAACTCAGTTTCATTCAGTGTTGTTTAATCAGCAGTTATTCCTGTCGCCCGGTTTGTTCCCAAGCGCGCTTCGTTTGCAACTTCCTGTGGGTGGTGTACTACTAGAATACCGACAGATGGAGACAAATAGCAAGGGATAAAAGTTCAATAGGCTGCGCTTGCAAATGCATTGATTTATCCAGTTTTTAACTACAAAATCACAGAATAATATACTTTAAGTTATATTGATTCACCCAAATGTCGGCTTTGTGCTGTAGTATGTAATTTGCTTTTGTCTAAAAAGTTACATTTATTTTCAACTCTATCGAAATATTTTAGAGTGAGTAACGTTATCTGATTGTTTATTAGCCCTTGATCATGATTCTCAGTTCCATTACACTACACATAAAAGTCATTGGACCGAAGGCGTCTTCTCACCGCCGGCCCTCTCATTAGGCAGGATTAAGCGGCCGCCTATGGAGGCAGATTGATGAGGGCAACATTTTCTGAGCTAAACGGACCAAAACGCACCTCCAACAACAACAACACATAAAACCTCACATAATTCTGTCCAAAAACAATGACAGTTTCTCTCAACCAGTGGCATATCGGCTTTTTAGTTTAGCTCTGATGCCGCCCTGTGATAAGCAGTGCCCACTTTGTCAAAGGCGAAAAAATATTTTGTTTGTCAATTCCCAGCGCGCCTCTCAGGTGTGTTGTTGGAGAGACTCATCGCTGCAGCGCTCCACCAACATCCGTCAACAACAACAAAAACTGGACCGGTCAAAGAGAAATGGACAATATGGAATGGACAACTGTTGTCTAGGAGTTTCACCCCATTGTCATGATCAGTGGTTTCAAGTTTGTATCCATACATTTTTGACAAGCTGATCATTGCGAAAAAATAAAATACTTATGCATTTCCCGCTGTGTAAACACATTGCAAAAAGGACCACGATAACTTCTGATAAAGTTGGGTAGCTGATATTCAGAGTTTAAATAGCCAAATTGATTAGTCACAGGAATCAGGACTAATAATGCCAATGCAATGCCTGTTTAACAAATGGTGGGCCTACCACATGGATGGGCATTCATAAAATGTCATTGTGGGCCGACATGTAGGCTACACCCCAGTAAACATGAGCCGACGTATTTTGGACTTCTTTTTTTGGTCCTGTCTAGACCGGAGGTATTTTTTGGTTTGTAGTATCGAGTCAATGCTGGTAATTATTGCTGTGAAACAAAGGAGTCCGCTCATACTGAACCTTGATCATAAGTTTTATTCATATCACAAGATTTCAGCATGAGTTTACAGGTGTCAAGATCACCCGGAGAACGGGGTCCCAGATTGCAATGGCCGCTGTAACCTCTTCTTCCTTTTTACCCAGTATATATAATCTTCCCAAGATATGGGTGGCTCCCTCTACTGTCCAATCCCCTGTCTACAACACACACTTCCTGTATTTTGTATGTGGCGTCACACTAAAACCGGCTCTCTTTCTGCCAAATAAACCTCCTCTCAGATTCCACTTAAAAACATTAACAAAGTCATAATGTTCATATACGACAGGTGTTTTACAAAAGGTAGGCTTACCACATAGAGGCTACACCTCAGTAAGCATGGACCGACGCAAACGCCTTTTGGACGTCTTTTTTTGGTGCAGCATGGACCAGCCTTGATTTCCACATCCATGGACATTGGTTTTTGGTCCGGTGAGGACCAAATCTGAAGCAATCATAGACCTCTAAGTTTGGTTCAGATTTTGTCCAGTCTGAATCAGCCTTGATTTGGCCCAAACATAGACATCTATAAATGATGTATTTTCAAATTTAATTCAGAACCAAAAATTAGCCTGATTTCAACATCTGGAAAATATGTATTTTCACCTTTCATTCAGAATCTAAATTGAACCTAACTTCAATTATATTCTAGGGTGAGCAGCATTTTACATTTACGTCATTTAGCAGACGCTCTTATCCAGAGCGACTTACAGTTAGTGCATACATTATTCTTTTTTATTTTTTCTTCATACTGGCCCCCCGTGGGAATCGAACCCACAACCCTGGCGTTGCAAACGCCATGCTCTACCAACTGAGCTACCTCCCTGCCGGCCATTCCCTCCCCTACCCTGGACGACGCTGGGCCAATTGTGCGCCGCCCCATTGGTCTCCCGGTTGCGGCCGGCTACAGCAGAGCCTGGATTCGAACCAGGATCTCTAGTGGCACAGCTAGCACTGCGATGCAGTGCCTTAGACCACTGTTTTGTTCTCGTTTATGGTGGCAGAACACGAAGGACCAGCCTGCGTCTTCTGTAAGGGGAGTTTTGTTAAGAGCCTGACGATTAGTCTGCACATTGACACCCATCGCTTGCTGTACCTTATCTTTAATATCAGCAAGAAAAAACCCCACAAAAAAACAAGGTTAAATTGCTACACCTTTATAGGGTTAGTGTTTCCACAAAGCCATATCCACATGTTGTGGAAGACAGAGGGAACACCTGTGCTAATTAGCTATCTATACTGAACAAAAATATAAACGCAACAATTTCAAAGATTTTGCTGAGTTACAGTTCATATAAGGAAATCAGTCAATTGAAATAAATAAATTAGGCCCTAATCTATGGATTTCACATGACTGGGCAGGGGCACAGTCATCGGGGGGCCTGGGAGGGCATAGGCCCTCCCCCTCTGACGATCCCGCAGGTGAAGAAACTGGATGTGGAGGGCTGCCGTGGTTACACGTAGTCTGCGGTTGTGAGGCCGGTTGGACGTACTGCCAAATTCTCTAAAATGATGTTGGAGGCGGCTTATGGTAGAGAAATGAACATTAAATTATCTGACAACAGCTCTGGTGGACATTCCTGCAGTCAGCATGCCAATTGCACGCTCCCTCAAAACTTGAAACATCTGTGGCATTGTGTTGTGTGACAAAACTGGACATCTTAGAGTGGCATTTTATTGTCCCCGGCACAAGGTGCACCTGTGTAATGAGCATGCTGTTTAATCAACTTCTTGATATGACACACCTGTCAGGTGGATGGATTATCTTGACAAAGGATCAAACGCTCACTAACAGGGATGTAAACAAATTTGTGCACAAAATTTGAGAGCAATAAGCTTTTTGTGCATATGGAAAATGTATGGGATCTTTTATTTCAGCACTTTACATGTTGCGTTTATATTTGTGTTCAGTGTAGCATGCTCATAATGGAAGAAGGCCGCCAGAAACGTGTTGTCACTGAAAAAGACTGTTGGCTGCAACTGTGATAAAGCCATTAAAACAGTATAAGGTAAGTGTATATTTTGCATTTGTGAAATTCTGTCAATTATTTTAATGTGATATGAAAGTAAAGGGCTTTATGTTTCTAGAACCTAATTGCAATTGAGAATCAATTCATGTTTACATGGAGTATTTGGCTGACACAGCCAGTCTACCTCTGTAAATGACAAGGTCCTTGAAGTAAAGGTACTAGGGCTAATTGTTTATATACTCACATGTGTACATCAAACAAACAGTGAGGAATATGTGAAATACCATGTTTAAAGCTGCAATAAGTAACTTTTTAGTCGACCCGGACAAAATTCACATAGAAAAATGAGTTATAGATCTGTAATTCTCAATGAAAGCAAGTCTAAGAAGCAGTAGATATGTTCTATGTATGCTATTCCTATTTACATTTTAGTCATTTAGCAGACGCTCTTATCTAGAGCGACTTACAGTTAGTGCATACATTTTCGTACTGGTCCCCCGTGGGAATTGAACCCACAACCCTGGCGTTGCAAGCGCCATGCTCTACCAACTGAGCTACACCGGACTACTTCCCTGTCGTTTTTGCGTCTTTTACTTTCGATTTTGTACACCAGCTTCAAATAGCTGAATATACAATATTTGTGGTTATTGGAAAGATATTCCACAATGATTTAGATCAGGGGTGTCAAACTCATTTTAGCTCAGGGGCCACATGGAGGAAAATCTATTCCCAAGTGGGCCGGACCGGAAAAATCATGGTATATATATAACTTAAAAACAACAACTTCAGATTGTTTTCTTTGTTTTAATACGATCAACATAAAACATAGAGCTGGAGCCTGAGGACAGTGTGTCCAAAATAGTACAAGCACATCACTATTAATCATAAAACACGTCAAGTTTATTTGAAAATTCTAAAGAAAAAGAACACACAAACACACAATGCCTCAGTGATTAACAGAACTGTTTCACAGATCACAGAACTATATCAGGGTGTCACTTCTCAGGCAGAAATGTAGATAAAAATAATGAAATCCTGTTCCCCAAACAAGTGCAAGAACCACAGAGTCAATAATAGGTTAAATATACAAATAAAATAAAAACAATTAAAAACAATAGCACATCAACATAAAAACATATAAACATAAAGCTGGAGCCTGAGGACAGTGTCCAAAAGCACAACATCGCTATTAATCATAAAACACCTCAAGTTATTTGAAAGTTCTGAGGACAAAGAACACACAAACACACAATGCCTCAGTGATTAACAGAACTGTTTCACAGATCACAGAACTATATCAGGGTGTCATTTCTCAGGCAGAAATGTAGATAAAAATAATGAAATCCTGTTCCCCAAACAAGTGCAAGAACCAGAGTCAAGAATAGGTTAAATATACAAATAAAATAAAAACAATTAAAAACAATAGCACATCAACATAAAAACATATAAACATAAAGCTGGAGCCTGAGGACAGTGTCCAAAAGCACAACATCACTATTAATCATAAAACACCTCAAGTTATTTGAAAGTTCTGAGGACAAAGAACACACAAACACACAATGCCTCAGTGATTCACAGAAGTATATCACAGATCACAGAACTATATCAGGGTGTCATTTCTCAGGCAGAAATGTAGATAAAAATAATGAAATCCTGTTCCCCAAACAAGTGCAAGAACCACAGAGTCAAGAATAGGTTAAATATACAAATAAAATAAAATCAATTAAAAACAATAGCACATCAACATAAAAACATATAAACATAAAGCTGGAGCCTGAGGACAGTGTCCAAAAGCACAACATCACTATTAATCATAAAACACCTCAAGTTATTTGAAAGTTCTGAGGACAAAGAACACACAAACACACAATGCCTCAGTGATTCACAGAAGTATATCACAGATCACAGAACTATATCAGGGTGTCATTTCTCAGGCAGAAATGTAGATAAAAATAATGAAATCCTGTTCCCCAAACAAGTGCAAGAACCACAGAGTCAAGAATAGGTTAAATATACAAATAAAATAAAATCAATTAAAAACAATAGCACATCAACATAAAAACATATAAACATAAATCTGAAAGCGTTGCTCAAACTCCCGTAACAGTCCCGTTATTTTATCTTTGAACCGCTTCATGTCTGCCACATGTTGGGTCGCGCACACATTTTTCAGACAGGGGAAGTGAGCTGCATCACCACCGGCAAGTTGCGTCTCCCACAATGACAGCTTCAACTTGAAAGAACGTATGCTGTCATAATATTGCGTGACAACTTTGTTGCGCCCTTGCAGCTGTTTGTTCAAGTTATTCAGGTGCTCTGTAACATCCACCATAAATGCAAGGTCCTGCATCCATTCTGCGGAATGAAATTCTAACACTGGTTTGCCCTTTTCTTCCATGAACTGTTCAATTTCTTCTCGTAAATCAAAGAAACGCCTCAGCACAGCACCTCGGCTTAACCATCTTACCTCAGTGTGGTATGGCAGGCCATAGATGTGGTCTTTCTCTCTGAGAAGGCTGTCAAACTGACGGTGATTCAGGCTTCTGGATCGGATGAAATTAACAGTTTGGATGACCACCTTCATGACGTTATCCATCTTTAATGACTTGCAACACAAAGCCTCCTGGTGCAAAATACAGTAAAAAGTCAAAAAATCACGTCCTCCATTTGCAGATTGCACTTTCTCTCTGAACTTTGTCACAACGCCTGCTTTTTTCCCGATCATTGAGGGCGCACCATCTGTAGCCAGGCTGACAGCGCGGGACCAGTCCACTCCGACCCTGTCCAGCGCGCCGACGAGTGCGGTAAAAATATCAGCTGCTGTCGTTGTATCTGTCATCGGCACCAACTCCACGAACTCCTCGGTGACGGTCAATGTGTCATCAACTCCGCGGATGAAAATGGCCAGTTGTGCAACATCTGTAATGTCCGTGCTTTCATCAATTGCAACCGAAAACGCAATAAATGACTTTACTTTTTGCTTCAACTGGCTGTCCAAATCCACTGAAAGATCGGAAATCCTGTCTGCAACTGTGTTTCTTGTCAGGCTGATATTTGCAAAGGCCTGCCGCTTTTCAGGGCACACAATCTCCGCTGCCTTCATCATGCATGTTTTTACAAATTCACCCTCACTAAATGGTTTTGAAGCCACTGCGATTTCATTAGCAATGAGGTAGCTAGCTTTCACTGCAGCGTCACTGATGTCTCGGCTGTGAGTAAACACAGACTGCTGTTTCTTCAGACCCGCCAACAGTTCATTCACCTTCTCTCATCTCTGCTGTCCTTGAAAGTTGTCATATTTGTCGGCATGAAGACTCACATAGTGGCGACGAAGGTTATATTCTTTCAGCACTGCAACATGCTCTGAACACACCAAACATACAGCTTTCCCATTCAATTCAGTGAATAAATAGGATGACCATTTTTCTTGGAACACTCTGCACTCTGCGTCCACTTTTCTCTTTTTTGACAGAGACATATTGGGGCAATGAGGGTGCCAAAGCACATAATGTTAAAAGTAGAAGCCGTAATAAATATCGCGGGCAAAACAAAGTAGCTCATTGACTGCACGTGCTTGACCTACTTGCTCTGCCCCGGTATAAACAGTTTGCTTGCTTAACACAATTGCTATTGCGCCATCCAGTGGACGCAATTGGAACAGCAGTTTATTTTATTGAAAAATTGCAGCGCATTTTTATACTTTACAAAATTATTAATATATATATATATATATATTTTTTTTTTTTCAAAACCCGGATTAAACCCGTTTGCGGGCCTGATCCGGCCCGCGGGCCGGACGTTTGACACCCCTGATTTAGATGGTACAATGATTCTCACAAACTGAAATTAGGCGAATTACTAGAATTTTACTAACATTAAATGGCGGAGTGATTTTTGCATATTCCACCTTTGATTACCTGATTCCAGAGGTCTCAAATAGTATTTTCTGTTGTGCATTTCAAACGTAACGAATACATTTGGCAGCTGTTGACAATAAAAATAACCACAAAATACAGCATCTCTCTGACTAGCAAGGAGTTCAGTTCTAATTAAGAGCTGCTGCGCATGCTCAATAGACACTTCTTCATTATGAAGCCGCTACCTAGCTGGGTGAGATGTGTGGAGAGCTGACGATTCGAGCCACGGTGGAAATACCATCATTTGAACCGTTAATTCGGGAGACGCCTAGTTAAAATGGTTGATATTCGACCGGAGAAACATCCTCAAACTGAGTTTAACGTCGTTCTCGCAATGTAGGTTATTTGATTTTCCGTGGGACAACGTTGATAACGCGACAGCAAGCTAAGTTAGCTAGCTACACGTCGTCACATGCAGTGCGTGATAAGGCGTAGCTAGCAATGTTTCTGCTAGCCACAACTGTTACTAACTTAGATTAATTTGAATCGTGAGCAGCTGTTGAGTTACGTTTTTAGTTAGCTAACTAGCTATGCATGGTGGTAGTTTCCATTTCAAACATCTGGTATTGCTAACGTTAACTAGCTAGTTAGGATGTTTAGCAGCTAGCTAACGGTAGCCATTGACGTAACTAGCTGCCATCCAGTGCAGTTTTCCTCCTACATCTGACTTTTAGCATCTTGTCTGATTTTACGACCCGCCAAAATCACATAATTGTAGATCGCTACATAACATAATTGAAGATGAGATTACAATAAAGATGTGATTATTCAACACCCTTCTTGCGGGGCACAACTGGTTTCGGTTAACTAGCCGTGGCTAACGTTAGGCGAGGTTACTAAAGTTAATGTCATAACGCTCGGAGCCAAGCCACAGCAAGCCATTCATGTAGCCTAGCTAGCTAGATGCCGAGCTAGATTTGAATAGCTGTAATAACGTCACCCTCATTAGAACGTGATCCGGTAACTGGTGGTGGTATAACCGTATTTCATTTCGGTTATGTAATCATAATGAGAAGTGGTCTTATTAGCTAATGTGACGTTTCCGGACAGTCAATCATGGCTGATAAATGTGAATTCCAAAGTGATGTAGCTAACGTTAGCTAGCCAATTTACTCTTAAGTACGGTGTTAAGCTATTGTTTTTACCGTGGACCTTTATGATCAAAATGCCATCTGAAAATGAGGGCCAGAGGGATGGGATCTGAGATCCTTTGACTCAGTTCTTTATGTAATTATATGGATGGGATATACCCTCCATCAGTGTCTCTTATTAGCATGTTTTTCACATGATGGGTTAATAACCAACCTGTATTACAGATCATGTGAAAGGGCAAAGGAATCAGCATCATGATCATACGCCTTACTAACTTTCCACTATGGAATGAATGTTTACAGTATTTCAGGCCAGTGTAGGGACCAGTTGGGATGCTTGGCTGTGTTGCAAATGGATAACATTTCATTTTCATTCACATTGATCCTGCTCAACAAAGCATGTAGGATTCTTGGGGAAATAGGCCACAATGTAGACCCATAGTGAGAGGTGACAATAAATGAAATGCATAAATTTGTCAGCAAATTACTTTTACTACGTCTACTCTTTATTTTATTTTTTATTTTATTGTGAAAGCGATATCCAGCCCCTTGTTACCTAATATGGTGTCATTGCCTGTACTTCAGGCTTGACTTGTCGAATTACAACACTTTCTGTGCAGGCATTTTGAGTGTATGTAGTTCCTTCCTGCCTCGTTAGACTTGATTTGTCTGAACATGCAGGCAGAGGTTTGAAGCGTTAACAGTTCTTCTTGGTCAAATACAACTCTGTTTATCTATCCTGTACAGCAACTTGTGCATGCCCACCTGGGAATGGGTTTATGAAACACCACATAACATGGAATTGGAGCTCTGTAAAAACAGAATTTTGCTGCTGTTGAATAAAAACAAGTATTTAGCCTTTAAAAAAAAAAAAGGATGTTTAGCCTACATGTTGTTATAGCACTTAAGACTAATCACCTTTTGCTCTCTTCTCCCTAATCCTTGTCCCCCCCCCCGTCCAGTCTTAGTAGGTTGTAGCGTGCTGTGTCGGGGCCATGGCGGTGAAGGACAAGCTGGAAGCGGTGCTGAACGTGGGTCTGCGGGTCCCCAGCATCATGCTGCTGGAGGTACTCTACCGCTGGGACGTCAGCTCCTTCTTCCAGAAGATCCAGAGGAGCAGCCTCAACAACAACCCTCTCTTCCAGTACAAGTACCTGGCTCTCTACCTGCACTATGTAGGTCAGTACCCCACACACACTCCTCACCTCGTTCAGTGCTACTGCAATTGGTCATGCCACTTCTGCTGCCCTGTTAAGTTCTCATTTATAGCACCCTTGTACATTTTTAAACAGCACATTTTGACAAATGCACCCATACACTTACAATACATTTCTAGTGGTCCATCTTATGATAAATTTATTTTAAATAGGTTTTCCCCCAAGTAAATTGTAAAGTTACATGCTTACTAATTAATTTAATGAATGTCAGATTAGTTGTGAATTTTCTCAGCCATTACAAAAGTTTGCACTTTCCTTTTTTGAGTGGCAAAGAAAATTTGCATGAACTGTTAAAGGGACAGTGCAGTTAATGTGATTTTTCCTTAAAAATAAATAAATATATATTTCCACAGTGAGGTCGAAATAACACTGAAATTGTGGAAATGATGATAATTCCCATTTTGTGTAAGAGCTATTTGAAGAAGAAAATAAATGCTTGGAATTTCAGCATGTAAAGATGGGATGGAGTTTTTTGCCCAGATCACGATGTCACAATCGGATCTTATTATAATAGACCGATGATCGTTCAGGGGTGGGCTCTAAACCATCCTATCAGCCAATCAGGGCTGTAAATATCTTCACATTTGTTCTTCTAACACCCACACGATCAGACAGCATTTCAAGGGCCAAAGGAGGCTCGGGGAAATGAATGATAGAAAATATATTTTGAAATTATTTTCATTCAATAAACAGTGATTTATTAGACATACAGTGGTGATTTAAAAAGACTGCATGGGGGCTTTAACTTTTGCTTTGCACCTCAGGGTAGATTAACTCTCCAGTGACATTGTGAAGAATAAATAAAAATTCATAACGAACACTGTACACCACGATGATATCCAAATTACCAAATGGGGACAAACAGGCTTGCTGTGTTAGCCAGTAGTTCAGCACTTCAGGCAAAATAATGTATCGCTAATGTTCCCTCACCTGGAAAATTACTGCAGTTGTAGCCTATAACTAGGACCCAGTTTTTCATGCTTGGGCCTCATGCATATTCATGTAATTTATGGGATACATTAGTATGATTTAAGTTCAACTTAGCAGTTTTCAACATACTCAGTCTTGAATTGTCTTGCTTTACGTTTTTTAAATGCTTCTAGGTTATTCAAAGCTAAGACGGGGAAAAAAATCAATGACACAAAGGATAAGGACTGACATTGTTTGTACTCAGCGTTTGCTTCATGACTGTAGATGTCTATGATTCATGTTGTGAGCATCTCCTCTCTGCAATTTATATGGGTGAAATGTTGTATTCATAATGGCACATTAATATGGACACACACAGTACTGCTACTGATCCAGTATGGATATGCTCTGCTTGAGTGGGCCTGGCCTTTACTAAAACCTCAGTGGAGGTAGGGCTCCAAATCTCATATCACTTGTCAGGGGCAAGTAAAATGAAAAATGTTGGACAAGCATAATATAGATTTTTAAATCACAATATCAAACAATTTACTCAGATCATAATTGGATCAGTGTCCTCCAGATGCGATGTGTTGCTCACTTTTCTTCCAATTTCTGCAGCGTGCATTGGAGCAGAATTGTATTGCGTTGATGGGCGGTCTTTCAATCGTGTGTAGCCACGTGTGCACGTGTTGATATTCCTTGCTAGTTAGTAAGTTATTTGACCAGTTATAGGTTATTTTTTGTCAGAAAACTGAGTTCGTACCGTCTTGAAAATCCTGGAAAAGTCATGGTGTGTGTGAATCTGCGTACAGTGCCATCATTTACATTTTAGTCATTTAGCAGACGCTCTTATCCAGAGCGACTTACAGTTAGTGAGTGCATACATTTTGATACTGGCCCCCCGTGGGAAATGAACCCACAACCCTGGCGTTGCAAGCGCCATGCTCTACCAACTGAGCTACAGGGGACATCAGAAAGTTTTCATACCCCTTGACTTATTCCATAATTTGTTACAGCGTGAATTCTAAATGGATCTTCTCACCCATATACACACAATACCCCATGACAGTGAAAACAATATTTTTAGACATTTTTGCAAATGTATTGAAAATGAAATACGGCGATCTCATTTACTTAACTATTCACACCCCTGAGTCAATACATGTTAGAATCACCTTTGGCAGCGACTACTGCCGAGTGTCTTTCTGGGCAAGTCTAAGCTTTGCACACCTGGATTGTACAATACTTGCACATTAGTCTTTTTATTTATTTTCTATTCTTCAAGCTCTGACAAGTTGGTTGTTGATCATTGATAGACAGCCATTTTCAAGTCTTGCCATAGATTTTCAAGTAGATTTAAGTCAACTGTAACTAGGCCACTCAGGAACATTCAATGTCGTCTTGGTAAGCAACTCCAGTGTATATTTGACCTTGTGTTTTAGGTTATTGTCCTGCTGAAAGGTGAATTAGAAAGGTCTGTTAGAAAGCAGACTGAACCAGGTTTTCCTCTAGGATTTTGCCTGTGCTTAGCTCTATTCCGTTAATTTTTATCCTAAATAACTCCCCAGTCCTTGCCGATGACAAGCATACTGATAACATGATGCAGCCACCACCATGCTTGAAAATATAAAGAGTTGTACTCCGTGACGTGTTGTGTTGGATTTGCCCCAAACATAACGCTTTTTATTCAGGACATAAAGTTAATTTCTTTGCCACCTTTTTTTCCCTTCTGTACAGGCTTCCTTTTCACTCTGTCATTTAGGTTAGTATTGTGGAGTAACTACAATGTTGATCCATACTCAGTTTTCTCCTATCACATCCATTAAACTCTTTAACTGTTTTAAAGTCACCATTGGCCCCATGGTGAAATCTCTGAGCGGTTTCCTTACACTCCGGCAACTGAGTTAGGAAGGACGCCTGTATCTTTGTAGTGACTGAGTGTGTTGATACAGCATCCAAAGTGTAATTAATAACTTCACCATGCTCAAAGGGATATTCAATGTCTGCTGTTTTATTACGAAACTCAGCATAAAAAGAAACGTCCTCTCACTGTCAGCTACGTTTATTTTCAGCAAACTAAACATGTGTAAATATTTGTTTGAACATAACAAGATTCAACAACTGAGACATAAACTGAACAAGTTCCACAGACGTGACTAACAGAAATTGGATAATGTGTCCCTGAACAAAGGGGGGGTCAAAACCAAAAGTATCAGTCAGTATCTGGTGTGGTCACCAGCTGCATTAAGTACTGCAGTGCATCTCTCCTCATGGACTGCACCAGATTTGCCTGTTCTTGCTGTGAGATGTTACCCCACTCTTCCACCAAGGCACCTGCAAGTTCCCTGACATTTCTGGGGGGAATGGCCCTAGCCCTCACCCTCCGATCCAACAGGTCCCAGTCTTGCTCAATGGGATTGAGATCCGGGCTCTTCGCTGGCCATGGCAGGACACTGACATTCCTGTCTTGCAGGAAATCACGCACAGAACGAGCAGTATGGCTGGTGGCATTGTCATGCTGGAGGTTCATGTCAGGATGAGCCTGCAGGAAGGGCACAGCATTGAGATTGCCTGCAATGACAACAAGCTCAGTCCGATGATGCTGTGACACACCGCCCCAGACCATGACGGACCCTACACCTCCAAATCGATCCCGCTCCAGAGTACAGGCCTCAGTGTAACGCTCATTCGTTCAATGATAAATGCGAATCCGACCATCACCCCTGGTGAAACAAAACCGCGACTCGTCAGTGAAGAGCACTTTTTGCCAGTCCTGTCTGGTCCAGCGACGGTGGGTTTGTGCCCATAGGCGACGTTGTTGCCGGTGATGTCTGGTGAGGACCTGCCTTACAACGGGCTTGAATATGCAAAAAAGCCAATAGGCAGAGGGTAGCCTATATTTTTTCGTCTGATTCTCTGTTAATATATGATAATTAATTGTGAAGTGGTTCCTTGCATCAGACAACCCAATTTTCAGTTAACCTTTTGGCCCATGCATAGTGTTAGACTTTTAAAAAAGTATTTTTGTTGTTGAGGCAAGTGACTTGAGCTTTCAGACAAACAAAATCAGTCCTTGGCTGATGCTTGTGTTTCAGACCAGAACAGAAGGGCATGAGGTCAATAGGATGATAATTAAACAATGCCGTAATTAAAGCATGACCTTAGGCAGCTGTCTACAGACGCTTGTCATTTTTTATTTTTTTTACTTTGTCAACATGGTGACACGTTGGCGCGGTCACATTTTCCTCTCCATCATTTGCCTTAGCTTTTCCCCACCATCCAAGACACAAGTATTTTAATGGAACTTTCCGTGATGCTTGGCGGGAAATAAGTCATTCTTGTCACCGCACTTCTGGGCTATTCCAGTCGTTTATATTTTACTTTGAAATGTGCACAGAGGACATAACCAATACAATGGATGCATTTGATAGTGTTTTGTGGTTTGGCACGGTTATGTATACTGTGCTAGGCGTGGAGGGTCCCATTATCAGCTGGTCAGACTGCTGGATAATTGTGTAGTAGACAGACCGTGAGCTATGGGGAAAATTTGGCAGCAGGGTTGGGTATGTGACTCGTTTAGGCAGGCTAAAGGCTGTCGCCTCACTGTGCTGGGAGAGCACAATGTGCTCTGTGTGGGCCTAGCCCATGCATGGAGTAGGACCAAGGTGAAGAGAAGAAGCCTTTTCCTTCCCAGGGGAGAAGAGTGGAGGAGGCACAGGCCATGATAACCAACTTACAGGCCATTAACACACCATTTACTACAGTCACTAGAAAGGCTAATCATCAATTGGAATGACTTTTTTTCACTAACTTTGTGTGTTCGTGCACACTTTCTATGAGTTTGGTGTCTTTGCTGAAGATGGGTCTGGTATATGAAAAATAAAAAATGTATGCACTCACTAACTGTAAGTCGCTCTGGATAAGAGCGTCTGCTAAATGACAAATGTAAATGTATTTGCTGATGAACACACTTGGCAGCAGAGCACAGTTGACTGAACTGAACCTGCATGTGTGTGTGCTGTTGCCTCTCTTGGAAAGAGACGGAGTGAGAGAGCAGGACTTTCTTCTGTGTTTCTAGGTTTCACCTAATATTTTGAATCTGAGGACTTTTGGCACATGCTGTAGCAGCCTGTCTCTAACTCTTTTGCTTATGGTTCTATCACATCGGTCAACTCTTTGTCCTGTCTGCATGACTTTGCATAGCAAATGGCTCTGAATCCATGGCTGTGGATTAACGGCTCTGTTTTATTGCCGTCTCTGCTGTTAAACAGTTAAACACAGGGATTTTCTGCCATTGATATCCTTGTGCGGGCCACCTAAGCATGCATAAAAGGAAAAATAAAATGTTTATTCAAAAATAAAATACAATCAGGATGGAAAAAGGCTTTGTATAAACCCAAATGCCTAAACCAGATAGTGTGTGTGTGTGTATATACAGTGGGGAAAAAAAGTATTTAGTCAGCCACCAATTGTGCAAGTTCTCCCACTTAAAAAGATGAGGCCTGTAATTTTTATCATAAGTACACGTCAACTATGACAGACAAATTGAGGGAAAAAAATTGCAGAAAATCACATTGTAGGATTTTAAATACATTTATTTGCAAATTATGGTGGAAAATAAGTATTTGGTCAATAACAAAAGTTTCTCAATACTTTGTTATATACCCTTTGTTGGCAATGACACAGGTCAAACGTTTTCTGTAAGTCTTCAAGGTTTTCACACACTGTTGCTGGTATTTTGGCCCATTCCTCCATGCAGATCTTCTCTAGAGCAGGCATGTTTTGGGGCTGTCGCTGGGCAACACGGACTTTCAACTCCCTCCAAAGATTTTCTATGGGATTGAGATCTGGAGACTGGCTAGGCCACTCCAGGACTTTGAAATGCTTCTTACGAAGCCACTCCTTCGTTGCCCAGGCGGTGTGTTTGGGATCATTGTCATGCTGAAAGACCCAGCCACGGTTCATCTTCAATGCCCTTGCTGATGGAAGGAGGTTTTCACTCAAAATCTCACGATACATGGCCCCATTCATTCTTTCCTTTACACGGATCAGTCGTCCTGGTCCCTTTGCAGAAAAAAAGCCCCAAAGCATGATGTTTCCACCCCCATGCTTCACAGTAGGTATGGTGTTCTTTAGATGCAACTCAGCATTCTTTGTCCTCCAAACATGACGAGTTGAGTTTTTACAAAAAAGTTATATTTTGGTTTCATCTGACCATATGACATTCTCCCAATCCTTTTCTGGATCATCACATGTACTGGCTTAAGCAGGGGGACACGTCTGGCACTGCAGGATTTGAGTCCCTGGCGGCGTAGTGTGTTACTGATGGTAGGCTTTGTTACTTTGGTCCCAGCTCTCTGCAGGTCATTCACTAGGTCCCCCCGTGTGGTTCTGGGATTTTTGCTCACCGTTCTTGTGATCATTTTGACCCCACGGGGTGAGATCTTGCGTGGAGCCCCAGATCGAGGGAGATTATCAGTGGTCTTGTATGTCTTCCATTTCCTAATAATTGCTCCCACAGTTGATTTATTCAATCCAAGCTGCTTACCTATTGCAGATTCAGTCTTCCCAGCCTGGTGCAGGTCTACAATTTTGTTTCTGGTGTCCTTTGACAGCTCTTTGGTCTTGGCCATAGTGGAGTTTGGAGTGTGACTGTTTGAGGTTGTGGACAGGTGTCTTTTATACTGATAACAAGTTCAAACAGGTGCCATTAATACAGGTAACGAGTGGAGGACAGAGGAGCCTCTTAAAGAAGTTGTTACAGGTCTGTGAGAGCCAGAAATCTTGCTTGTTTGTAGGTGACCAAATACTTATTTTCCACCATAATTTGCAAATAAATTCATTAAAAATCCTACAATGTGATTTTCTGGATTTTTTTCTTCTCAATTTGTCTGTCATAGTTGACGTGTACCTATGATGAAAATTACAGGCCTCATTTTTTTAAGTGGGAGAACTTGCACAATTAGTGGCTGACTAAATACTTTTTCCCCCACTGTGTATATATATATATATTATGTTTTTATTTATTTTATTTTTTAACTAACAATCACCCAAATAAAAGCTAGACGGTATAGAAAATACCCAAAACAGTGAATTTAGCAGTATAGATTTGATGGTCGAGCAAAAGAACACCACATTAGCCATGGCAAAATGTATATAGTTGCAGGAAGTTTTCTCAGCTCCATGACAGAATGTTGAATCGCAGGATAAAAAATAAAAAGCTATATTTTCTCAAAGCTCCATGGATACATTTTTTTGAATTGCAGGAAGTTGGCGTAAAATGCAAAATATTCTCTACACCGCAATGATGGGGGGGGGCTCTAGAATTGTCTCTAGAACTTTGCTGCACCTACAGGCAGACTGCCCCCCCCCCCCCCCCCCCGAAACAAATTATTCTAGCCCGTGTTGTTGGCTTACCTAATGTAATACAGACTAAAGAACAGGATGTGATCTGTTCATAACATACATGGCTGCTCCTGACCAATGGCTGGAAGGCTTTTCTTCTATGTGCACAATTCAGATACTCAGTCCCATCCCCGCTCCTCATGAGGCTAGTTATATCACGAGGACGGCTATATTAGTTTTATTTGAAATAATGTGAAATATCCCCCTCCCCAAGGCACAGGATAGAAAAATGAGCTTTCTTTTATAGTCCCAGTTTATCATTCCTCTATCTGCTCTTCACAGGGTTCTCCCCAAAGAACCTTGTGGACTGGTTGTGCCTTCAGAAAGTATTCATACCCCTCGACTTATTCCAAATTTTGTGTTACAGCCTGAATTGAAAATGGATTCAATAGATTTTTTTCCACTCACCCATCTACACACAATACCCCATAATGACGAAGTGAAAACGTTTTTAGACATTTTTGCACATTTGTATTGAAAAAATAAAAACAGGAAAATCTGATTTACATAAGTATTCACACCCCTGAGTCAATACTTTGTAGAAGCACCTTTTGGCAGCGATTTACAGCTGTACATATTTCTGGTTAAGTCTTTAAGAGCTTTACACACTTGAATTGGGCAACATTTGCCCATTTTTATTATTTTTCAAAATTCTTCAAGCTCTGTCAAATTGGTTGTTGATCATTGCTAGACAACCATTTGCAGGTGTTGCCGTAGATTTGTCAAAACTGTAACTCAACTCGTGTGGATTTGGCTTTGTTTTAGATTCTTGTCCTGCTGAAAGTTGAATTTATCTCCCAGTGTCTGGTGGAAAGCAGACTGAACTAGAGGAAAACCTGGGATTTTGCTTGTGCTTAGCTCCATTCAGTTTCATTTTTTAAATCCTGAATAACTCTCCAGTCCTTAACGATTACAGGCATACCCATAACATGATGCAGTCACCACTATACTTGAAAATATACTCCGTAATGTGTTGTATTGGATTTGCCCCAAACATAACACTTTGTATTCAGAACAAAACGTTAATTGCTTTGCCACATTTTTTACATATTGGTCTGCTTTCCCTGTAATCAGTCTATGGACAAGGTATGACAGCAATCCATGCATTGGTTTTGTTTACCTGGCCACTGGTTCAAATGCTGACTTTGTAGCATTTGGCACAAATGTAATGCAAGTCAATGGTACCTATATTTAGGGCTGGCACAATCATTGTATATAACTGTGTAACCAAGTATGGACCATTAACAAAAGAGAAATCATAATGCTTTTTTATATTTCAGAGGGTCTAATTTTATATTAATCTATGGATTTCACATGACTGGAAATACAGATATGCATCTGTTGGTCAGATAGGTAGGGGTGTGAATAAAGTCAGTTTCTGGTGTGACCACCATTTGCCTCATTCAATGCGTCACTTCTCTTTCGCATAGAGTTGATCAGGCGGTTGGTTGTTGCCTATGGAATGTTGTCCCACTCCTCTTCAATGGCTGTGTGAAGTTGCTGAATATTGTCGGAAACTGGAACAAGCCTCATAGCAAAGGGTCTGAATACTTATGTAAAGGTATTTCTAAATTTGCTAAAATGTCTAAACCTGTTGCTTTGTCAGTATAGGGTATTGTGTGTAGATTGATGGGGGGGGGGAACAATTTTAATCCATTTTAGAATAAGGCTGTAACTTAACAAAATGTGGAAAAAGTCAAGGGGTTTGAATACGTTCTGAATTCACTGTGTATGTATGTACAGTGGGGAGAACAAGTATTTGATACACTGCCGATTTTGCAGGTTTTCCTACTTACAAAGCATGTAGAGGTCTGTAATTTTTATCATAGGTACACTTCAACTGTGAGAGACGGAATCTAAAACAAAAATCCAGAAAATCACATTGTATGATTTTTAAGTAATTAATTTGCATTTTATTGCATGACATAAGTATTTGATCACCTACCAACCAGTAAAAATTCCGGCTCTCACAGACCTGTTAGTTTTTCTTTAAGAAGACCTCCTGTTCTCCACTCACTACCTGTATTAACTGCACCTGTTTGAACTCGTTACCTGTATAAAATACACCTGTCCACACACTCCATCAAACAGACTCCAACCTCTCCACAATGGCCAAGACCAGAGAGCTGTGTAAGGACATCAGGGATAAAATTGTAGACCTGCACAAGGCTGGGATGGGCTACAGGACAATAGGCAAGCAGCTTGGTGAGAAGGCAACAACTGTTGCCGCAATTATTAGAAAATGGAAGAAGTTCAAGATGACGGTCAATCACCATCGGTCTGGGGCTCCATGCAAGATCTCACCTCGTGGGTCATCAATGATCATGAGGAAGGTGAGGGATCAGCCCAGAACTACACGGCAGGACCTGGTCAATGACCTGAAGAGAGCTGGGACCACAGTCTCAAAGAAAACCATTAGTAACACACTACGCCATCATGGATTATAATCCTGCAGCGCACGCAAGGTCCCCCTGCTCATGCCAGGGCATGTCCAGGCCCGTCTGAAGTTTGCCAATGACCATCTGGATGATCCAGAGGAGGAATGGGAGAAGGCCATGTGGTCTGATGAGACAAAAATAGAGCTTTTTGGTCTAAACTCCACTCGCCATGTTTGGAGGAAGAAGGAGGTTGAGTACAACCCCAAGAACACCATCCCAACCGTGAAGCATGGAGGTGGAAACATCATTCTTTGGGGATGCTTTTTTGTAAAGGGGACAGGACGACTGCACCGTATTGAGGGGAGGATGGATGGGGCCATGTATCGCAAGAGATCTTGGCCAACAACCTCCTTCCCTCAGTAAGAGCATTGAAGATGGGTCGTGGCTTGGTCTTCCAGCATGACAACGACCCGAAACACACAGCCAGGGCAACTAAGGAGTGGCTCCGTAAGAAGCATCTCAAGGTCCTGGAGTGGCCTAGCCAGTCTCCAGACCTGAACCCAATAGAAAATCTTTGGAGGGAGCTGAAAGTCTGTATTGCCCAGAGACAGCCCTGAAACCTGAAGGATCTGGAGAAGGTCTGTATGGAGGAGTGGGCCAAAATCCCTGCTGCAGTGTGTGCAAACCTGGTCAAGACCTACAGGAAACGTATGATCTCTGTAATTGCAAACAAAGGTTTCTCTACCAAATATTAAGTTCTGCTTTTCTGATGTATCAAATACTTATGTCATGCAATTAAATGCAAATTAATTACTTAAAAATCATACAATGTCATTTTCTGGATTTTTGTTTTAGATTCCGTGTCTCACAGTTGAAGTGTACCTATGATAAAAATTACAGACCTCTACATGCTTTGTAAGTAGGAAAACCTGCTAAATCGGCAGTGTATCAAATACTTGTTCTCCCCACTACATGTGGGTAGAGTTAAAGTGACTATGCATAAATAATTAACAGAGTAGCAGCAGTTTAAAAAGATGGGGTGGGGGGCAGTGCATATATTGTGTGTGTATGTATATTTTACCGATATTGCAATATTGTTTTGGCGCTAGTTGGCTGTAACTCCAGTATTTGTCCTTCATAGCTTGTTCTCCTCTTCTGTTTTAAATAGGGAGCTAATTTGTTTCATGTTCATGACTGATCAAAACTTGTTTTCTCAGCAGACATGTACAGTGAGGGGAAAAAAAGTATTTGATCCCCTGCTGATTTTTTACATTTGCCCACAGACTAAGACATGATCAGTCTATAATTTTAATGGTAGGTTTATTTGAACAGTGAAAGACAGAATAACAACAAAAAAATCCAGAAAAACGCATGTCAAAAATGTTATAAATTGATTTGCATTTTAATGAGGGAAATAAGTGTTTGACCCCTTTCAATCAGAAAGATTTCTGGCTCCCAGGTGTCTTTTATACAGGTAACGAACTGAGATTAGGAGCACACTCTTAAAGGGAGTGATCCTAATCTCAGCTTGTTACCTGTATAAAAGACACCTGTCCACAGAAGCAATCAATCAATCAGATTCCAAACTCTCCACCATGGCCAAGACCAAAGAGCTCTCCAAGGATGTCAGGGACAAGATTGTAGACCTACACAAGGCTGGAATGGGCTACAAGACCATCGCCAAGCAGCTTGGTGAGAAGGTGACAACAGTTGGTGCGATTATTCGCAAAATGGAAGAAACACGAACTGTCAATCTCCCTCGGCCTGGGGCTCCATGCAAGATCTCACCTCGTGGAGTTGCAATGATCATGAGAACGGTGAGGAATCAGCCCAGAACTACACGGGAGGATCTTGTCAATGATCTCAAGGCAGCTGTGACCATAGTCACCAAGAAAACAATTGGTAACACACTACGCCGTGAAGGACTGAAATCCTGCAGCGCCCGCAAGGTCCCACTGAACAAGAATGCACATATACAGGCCCGTCTGAAGTTTGCCAATGAACATCTGAATGATTCAGAGGAGAACTGGGTGAAAGTGTTGTGGTCAGATGAGACCAAAATGGAGCTCTTTGCCATCAACTCAACTCGCTGTGTTTGGAGGAGGAGGAATGCTGCCTATGACCCCAAGAACACCATCCCCACCGTCAAACATGGAGGTGGAAACATTATGCTTTGGGGGTGTTTTTCTGCTAAGGGGACAGGACAACTTCACCGCATCAAAGGGACGATGGACATGGGCCATGTACCGTCAAATCTTGGGTGAGAACCTCCTTCCCTCAGCCAAGGCATTGAAAATGGGTCCTGGATGGGTATTCCAGCATGACAATGACCAAAAACACACGACCAAGGCAACAAAGGAGTGGCTCAAGAAGAAGCACATTAAAGTCCTGGAGTGGCCTAGCCAGTCTCCAGACCTTAATCCCATAGAAAATCTGTGGAGGGAGCTGAAGGTTCGAGTTGCCAAATGTCACCCTCAAAACCTTAATGACTTGGAGAAGATCTGCAAAGAGGAGTGGGGCAAAATCCCTCCTGAGATGTGTGCAAACCTGGTGGCCAACTACAAGAAACGTCTGACCTCTGTGATTGCCAACAAGGGTTTTGCCACCAAATAGTAAGTCATGTTTTGCAGAGGGGTCAAATACTTATTTCCCTCATTAAAATGCAAATCAATTTATAAATTTTTTTACATGCATTTTTCTGGATTTTGTTGTTGTTATTCTGTCTCTCACTGTTCAAATAAACCTACCATTAAAATGATAGACTGCTCATGTCTTTGTCAGTGGGCAAACGTACAAAATCAGCAGGGGATCAAATACTTTTTTCCCCTCACTGTATATGGTGAGCAAAATGTTTGGATCATCGAAACACAATAAAATTGCAGTACCGAATCGCAATGCGTATCGGCACCTAAGTATCGTGATCATATCGTGAGGTCCCTGGTTATTCATAGCCCTACTGTTCTACTACTGCATATCTGAGCCAAGAGCAGGAGCCTCTCCAACCAAAGCCCCCACACAATGTAAACACTGACTCATATTCATCACTGAAGGAAGGCACCACTAACCAAACACAGGCTCTGTAAAGCAAAAGCTTGTGCTCTTTAAGATACGGTGTGGACTTTGTCTTCCAATGAAGGTGTTATTTGGTTTATAAGGCATTACGTCAACAGTGCTTACACTCTCCTGTTGTCCCTCCACATGTCTCTGTTTTGTGCTCTGTGACGGTTGTGAAGCAGAGGCAGGTAAGCCTATTGACAGCAGTGACTTGACTGGTTGGGCTGGCCGGCAGAATATAGCTCTATCTCCTCTCCGGATTATATAAGCGGGATCCGCTCACTGCTACAGCCACAGTCTGAGGGGGAGAAGGGAGGGAGGGAGGGTTAAGCTGCCCCCCTCTAATCTCCAGTCCCTGTAACCCTGGCTTTCACAGTGAGGCTGGCTCATCCTGACTGACCGGGTCAGTCGCACACTGCTGGCTGGGTTCACCTACAAACATTGACTCCAGTCAGGGCCCTTGGCGCTCCGAGAGAGGATAACAATCATTTTGGTTTTCATGGGAGGTAGAATCATATACAGTGAGCTCAAAGTATTGGATCGGTTTTGTTGTTTTGGCTCTGTACTCCAGCACTTGACACAATTACTGAGGTTAAAGTGCAGACTGTCAGCTTTAATTTAAGGGTATTTTCATCCATATTGTGTGAACTGTTTAGAAATTACATCACTTTTTGTACAGTCACTCCATTTTAGGGGACCACAAATATTTTGACCAATTCACTTGTATTAATTTACATTTTAGTCATTTAGCAGACGCTCTTATCCAGAGCGACTTACAGTTAGGGTGCATATCTTTTTCATACTAATTAATGTAGTGAAAAGTTAAGCTTTTGGTCCCATATTCATACCAGGCAATGACTACATAAAGCTTGTGACTACAAACTTGTTGGATGCATTTGCTGTTTCTTTGGTTTCAGATTTTGTGCACAATAGAAAATATTGGTAAATAATGTATTGTGTCATTTTTCTTCTTGTAAATAAGAATAGAATATGTTTCTAAACACTTCTACATTCATGTGGATGCTACCATGATTATGGATAATCCTGAATGAGTGAGAAAGTTAGAAGCACAAATATCATAGTCCCAAGACATGCTAACTTTTCACCATGACAATAACAGGGGAGGGTCGCATTTATGGGGGGTATGATATTAGTGTCTTTCTGTCTAGTTTTTGTCTGGCCAGAATGACTCCCTCCACTGACCATTCTTCAAGCCTCGATGGCTAACTAACTAGCCTCCTATCTTCCCCTGTGTTTGTCATGCTCTCTTTTCTCTAATGAATGTTTGATCAGGTTTAGTTGCACGTTTTGACTCACACACTTACTCAAGCTCTCTCACGCACCGGATGATGGAGAGGGCTGTGGTGGCGTGTTAGCTGTTTGCTAATAGAATCCCCAGGGTGAATTGGCAGATGTATTGCTGGGTCCTGGTCGGCCAGTGAGTCCCTGGTGTATTAGTGCCTGGTGATTTGTCTATGACTGTTCCCGCTGACTCCACTACACCAGGCAGGCTGCGCTCAACCAAGATGGAGGAGGGAGGGCAGGATAATTGGTTTCACTGTCCTCACTACTCCTCTGTCTGTATTTCTGAGAGGATTGGAATAACAGTTGCAGGATTCTATGTGAAGTGAAGGCCATTCAGACCGTAGTGGATGCCTGTGTTAAATCTATCCCTTTAATGTGTTAGACAGCAGTTGACTATCTTTTTGTCCCTTTTTAAAAAATCTGGTATGTATGGGAGGTGGGGAAAAAAAGTATTTAGTCAGCCACCAATTGTGGAAGTTCTCCCACTTAAAAAGATGAGAGAAGCCTGTAATTTTCATCATAGGTACACGTCAACTATGACAGACAAAATGAGATGAAAAAAAATCCAGAATATCACATTGTAGGATTTTTTATGAATGTATTTGCAAATTATGGTGGAAAATAAGTATTTGGTCAATAACAAAAGTTTCTCAATACTTTGTTATATACCCTGTGTTGGCAATGACACAGGTCAAACGTTTTCTGTAAGTCTTCACAAGGTTTTCACACACTGTTGCTGGTATTTTGGCCCATTCCTCCATGCAGATCTTCTCTAGAGCAGTGATGTTTTGGGGCTGTCGCTGGGCAACACGGACTTTCAACTCCCTCCAAAGATTTTCTATGGGGTTGAGATCTGGAGACTGGCTAGGCCACTCCAGGACCTTGAAATGCTTCTTACGAAGCTACTCCTTCGTTGCCCGGGCGGTGTGTTTGGGATCATTGTCATGCTGAAAAACCCAGCCACGTTTCATCTTCAATGCCCTTGCTGATGGAAGGAGGTTTTCACTCAAAATCTCACGATACATGGCCCCATTCATTCTTTCTTTTACACGGATCAGTCGTCCTGGTCCCTTTGCAGAAAAACAGCCCCAAAGCATGATGTTTCCACCCCCATGCTTCACAGTAGGTATGGTGTTCTTTGGATGCAACTCAGCATTCTTTGTCCTCCAAACACGACGAGTTGAGTTTTTACCATCTGACCATATGATATTCTCCCAATCCTCTTCTGGATCATCCAAATGCACTCTAGCAAACTTCAGACGGGCCTGGACATGTACTGGCTTAAGCAGGGGGACACGTCTGGCACTGCAGGATTTGAGTCCCTGGCGGCGTAGTGTGTTACTGATGGTAGGCGTTGTTACTTTGGTCCCAGCTCTCTGCAGGTTATTCACTAGGTGGGGACCTAGTGAATTCTGGGATTTTTGCTCACCGTTCTTGTGATCATTTTGACCCCACGGGGTGAGATCTTGCGTGGAGCCCCAGATTGAGGGAGATTATCAGTGGTCTTGTATGTCTTCCATTTCCTAATAATTGCTCCCACAGTTGATTTCTTCAAACCAAGCTGCTTACCTATTGCAGATTCAGTCTTCCCAGCCTGGTGCAGGTCTACAATTTTGTTTCTGGTGTCCTTTGACAGCTCTTTGGTCTTGGCCATAGTGGAGTTTGGAGTGTGACTGTTTGAGGTTGTGGACAGGTGTCTTTTATACTGATAACAAGTTCAAACAGGTGCCATTAATACAGGTAACGAGTGGAGGACAGAGGAGCCTCTTAAAGAAGAAGTTACAGGTCTGTCAGAGCCAGAAATCTTGCTTGTTTGTAGGTGACCAAATACTTATTTTCCACCATAATTTGCAGATAAATTCATTAAAAATCCTACAATGTGATTTTCTAGATTCCTTTTCCTCAATTTGTCTGTCATAGTTGACGTGTACCTATGATGATAAATTACAGGCCTCTCATCTTTTTAAGTGGGAGAACTTGCACAATTGGTGGCTGACTAAATACTTTTTTTCCCCACTGTATGTATGTATGTATGTATGTATGGGAGGTGAAAGTATCTCAATAACAGACGGACCAAACTTTTATGAACAAGTAAACGCCATAAAGTACCAGAGGATGAATTTGGACACACCTACACTGGTGTTGGCTGGCCTTGGTGCTCTGAAACGGGCAAGGGACTTTCTCTCCAAGGACAACCTCCACACCATTTACCAAACAATGAAAACTCACGTGGACTACTGTGCCACAGTATGGCTCCCACCCGACATCAGTGCAATAAGACATGTCTTAACCAGCTCCAGCTTCCCACCCGACATCAGTGCAATAAGACATGTCTTAACCAGCTCCAGCTTCCCACCCTACATCAGTGCAATAAGACATGTCTTAACCAGCTCCAGCTTCCCACCCTACATCAGTGCAATAAAACAGGTTTTAACCAGCTCCAGTGAATCATCAACAAGGCTGCTCGTATCATGAATGGTCATTCACAAAGGGAACACAAAAAGACATTTGAAACACTGGTGGACAGGATCCGATTCAACACCCTGGTGACTGTTTTCAAGGCAACACAACAGCAAATGCCTAATTTATGTCAGACCTGTTCAGCAGTCTCCACCAATCCTCTGAGGACTAGAGCAGCTGCCAAAGCCTATGAACAATGGGACCCCCACCTACTGGCTCATCCACCAACTAAACACATGGCCTTCCAAAGCAGTCTGTGGTTCTTTTGGATCACTGCTGTGGAACAAGCTGGACTGACCCACACGACCGCTAGCTAGCATTTCCGCATTCAAAAGAGCTGTACAAATCAGATAAAAGACTGATGTAATGTGAGTGTGCTCTTGTATGTATGTATGTATTTATGTATGCTACTGTGTGCTGTACTTGCAGCTGTCTTGTTTGTATGCTACAGTGTATGTACAGTACATTCGGAAAGTATTCAGACCCCTTGACTTTTTCCACATTTTGTTACGTTACAGCCTTTTTCTAAAATTGATTGGGGGGAAAGAACAATTTAATCTACACACAATACTCCATAATGACAAAGCAACAACAGATTTTGTAGAAATTCTAGCTAATTTATTAAAAATAAATGGAAATATGACATTTGCATAAGAATTCAGACCCTTTACTCAGTACTTCGAAGCACGTTTGGCAGCGATTACAGCCTCAAGCCTTCTTGGGTATGATGCTGTAAGCTTGGCACACCTGTATTTGGGGAGTTTCTCCCATTCTTCTCTGCAGATCCTCTCAAGCTCTGTCAGGTTGGATGGGGAGCGTTGCTGCACAACTATTTTCAGGTCTCTCCAGAGATGTCCGATCGGGTTCAAGTCCGGGCTCTGGCTGGACCACTCAAGGACATTCAGAGACTTGTCCTGAAGCCACTCCTGCATTGTCTTGGCTGTGTGCTTAGGGTCATTGTCCTGTTGGAAGGTGAACCTTCGCCCCAGTCTGAGGTCCTGAGCGCTCTGGAGCAGGTTTTCATCAAGGATATCTCTGTACTTTGCTCCGTTCATCTTTGCCTCGATCCTGACTAGTCTCCCAGTCCCTGCCACTGAAAAACATCCCCACAGCATAATGCTGCCACATCATGCTTAACCGTATGGATGGTGCCAGGTTTCCTCCAGACGTGATGCTTGGCATTCAGTCCAAAGAGTTCAATCTTGGTTTCATCAGACAATAGAATCTTGTTTCTCATGGTCTGAGAGTCTTTAGGTGCCTTTTGGCAAACTCCAAGCGGGCTGTCATGTGCCTTTTTTACTGGAGTAACTTCCGTCTGGCCACTCTACCATAAAGGCCTGATTGGTGGAGTGCTGCAGAGATTGTTGTCCTTCTCCCCGACCAAGGCCCTTCTCCCCCGATTGCTCCATTTGGCCGTGCGGCCAGCTCTAGGAAGAGTCTTGGTGGTTCCAAACATCTTACATCTAAGAATGATGGAGGCCACTGTTCTTGGGGACCTTCAATGCTGCAGAAATGTTTTGGTACCCTTCCCCAGATCTGTGCCTCGACACAATCCTGTCTTGGAGCTCTACGAATAATTCCTTCGACCTCATGGCTTGGTTTTTGCTCTGACATGCACTGTCAACTGTGGGACCTTATGTAGACAGGTGTGTGTGTGTGTGTGTGTGTGCCTTTTCCAAATCATGTTCAATCAATTGAGTTGACCACAGGTGGACTCCAATCAAGTTGTAGAAACGTCTCAAGGATGATCAATGGAAATAGGATTCACCTGAGCTCAATTTCGAGTCTCAAAGCAAAGGGTCTGAATACTTATGGAAATAACGTACTTCTGTTTTTATTTTTTAAATGTGCAAAAATGTCTAAACCTGTGTTTGCTTTCTCATTATGGGGTGTTGTGTGTAGATTGCTGAGGAAAAAAATGAATTGAATCAATTTTAAGGCTGTAATGTAACAAGGGGTCTGAATACTTTCTGAAGACAGCTTTTGTGTGTTTTTATTGACTATTGAACCCAGGACTCCCTGGAAAACAGTGTTACAGGGCTATCCTGCCTAAATGAATAAATAAATGAAATGAATGTGTGTTTCACGTCTTCATGGTGGTGTGCTGTACAGGCACATCGCCGTCCTCCCTCCATGATTCACTGTGTCCTGACTGCGTCTCCCTCCTCTCTCTGTGTATCAGGTTACATCCTCAGCCTGGTGCTCCTGACTCTGCCTCGTCAGCACCTGGTGAAGCTCTACCTGTACGTGCTCACTGCCCTACTGCTCTTCGCTGGACACCAGGTCTCCAGGTGAGACGTTCAATTGTTAGCGAGGAGTGAGCTGTATTCGGAAGGTCATTTTAAAAGCCATTGCGTGCTGTGTTTGTTAACCATTTTCAAATTGCTCCATAAAACAGTTAGGGGTAATAGTATTGAGTGAATCAAGCTTCTACTGGCCCTGTGTGTGTGTGTGTAACTGTTGAATTCTCTGAGGGATGTTTTTGTATCTAACCAGTGAGGACAGAGGACCGCCGGTGTGACTGCAGGAGGTGAACTGAGCTCTGGGTTGTCTTGTTTTTAGGGATTATGTCCACAGTGAGCTGGACTCTGGGTACGAGGGACCACTCTACCTGGAGCCGCTGTCCATGAACCGCTTCTCCACCGCCCTCCTAGGTAACTAACTAAACACATTGCCGCCTTCACCATAGGTAACTACACTGAACAAAAATATAAACGCAACATGAAAAGTGCTGGTCCCATGTTGCTTGAGCTGAAATAAAACATCCCAGAAATGTTCCATAAGCACAAAAAGCTTATTTCTCTCAAATGTTGTGCACATAGTTGTTTTCATCCCTGTTAGTGAGAATTCCTCCTTTGCCAAAATAATATGGCATATCAAGAAGCTAATAAAACAGCATGATCATTACACAGGTGCACCTTGTGCTGGGGACAATAAATGGCAACTGTAAAATGTGCAGTTTTGTCACACAACACAATGCCACAGTTTTGAGGGAGCCTGCAATAGGCATGCTTACTACAGGAATGTCCACCAGCGCTGTTGCCAGATAATTTCATGTTCAATTCTCTACTGTTAGCCGCCTCCAACGTCGTTTTAGAGAATTTGGCCTCAACCGTAGCCCAGGACCTCTACATCCGACTTCTTCACCTGCGGAATTGTCTGACACCAGCCACCCGGACAGCTGATGAAACTGTGGGTTTGCACAACCGTATAATTTCTGCACAAACTGTCAGAAACCGTCTCTGGGAAGCTCATCTGGGTGCTCATTGTCCTCACCAGGGTCTTGACCTGGCTGCAGTTCGGCGTCGTAATCGACTTCACTGGGCAAATGCTCACCTTCGATGGCCACTGGCACGCTGGAGAAGTGTGCTCTACACAGATGAATCCCGGCGTCGTGTGGGTGAGCGGTTTGCTGATGTCAACGTTGTGAACAGAGTGCCCCATGGTGGGGTTATGGTATGGAAAAGGCATAAGCTATGGACAACAAACACAATTGCATTTTATCGATGGCAATTTGAATGCACAGAGACTGACGAGATCCTGAGGCCCATTGTCGTGCCATTCATCCGCCACCATCACCTCATGTTTCAGCATGATAATGCACAGACCCATGTCGCAAGGATCTGTACACAATTCCTGGAAGCTGAAAATGTCCCAGTTCTTCCATGGCCTGCATACTGACCAGACATGTCACCCATTGACCATGTTTGGGATGCTCTGGATCGACGTGTGCGATAGCGTGTTCCAGTTCCCGCCAATATCCAGCAACTTCGCACAGCCATTGAAGAGGAGTGGGACAACATTCCACAGGCCACAATCAACAGCCTGATCAACTCTATGCGAAGGAGATCAAATCAAATCAAATTTTATTGGTCACATGCGCCGAATACAACAGGTGCAGACATTACAGTGAAATGCTTACTTAGATGTCGTGCTGCATGAGGCAAATGGTGGTCACACCAGATACTGGCTGGTTTTCTGATCCACACCCCCACAAGGTATTGTATCTGTTACCAACAGATGCAAATCTGTAATCCCAGTCATGTGAAATCCATAGATGAGGGCCTAATTAATTTATTTCAATGGACTGATTTCCATATGAACTGTAACTCAGTAAAGTCTTTTGAAATTGATGCATGTTGCGTTTATTTTTGTTCAGAGTAACTAAACACAGTCCCACCCTAATTACATTTTAGTCATTTTAGCAGATGCTCATATCCAGAGAAACTTACAGTAGTACATTTTTCATACTTGTCCCCTGTGTGAATTGAACCCACAACCCTGGCGATGCAAGCGCCACGCTCTACCAACTGAGCCATAGGTAACCAACTAAACACAGACCCACCTTCACCACCACTACCACCCTCATAGGTAACCAACTAAACACAGTCTCACCTTCACCACCACCACCCTCATAGGTAACCAACTAAACACAGTCCCACCTTCACCACTACCACCCTCATAGGTAACCAACTAAACACAGTCCTACCTTCACCACCACTACCACCCTCATAGGTAACCAACTAAACACAGACCCACCTTCACCACCACTACCACCCTCATAGGTAACCAACTAATTTTAAACACAGACCCACCTTCACCACCACCACCACCACCCTCATAGGTAACCAACTAAACACAGTCCCACCTTCAGCAATACAAGGTTATAACATTTATGGAAAAGCCAATGGTGGTGTTGCTGTTTATATTCAGAACCACATTCCTGTGAATATTAGACAGGATCTCATGTTAAATACTGTTGAAGTAATATGGCTAGAGGTTAATCCTGCCTCCCCTAATGCCAATTCTGGTTGGAAGCTGCTATAGACGACCAAGTGCTAACAGTCAGTTTCTGGATAACATGTGTGAAATGCTTGATAATGTATGTGATATCAATAGAGGTATACTTTCTTGGTGATTTTATATATTTACTGGCTTTCATCAGGCTGCTCACTCAAGAGAAGGCTTCAAACTGTAACCAGTGCCTGCAACCTGGTTCAGGTTATCAGTCAACCTACCAGGGTGGTTACAAACAATACAGGAATTAAATCAACATGTATCAATCATATCTTTACTAATGCTGCAGAGATTTGTTTGAAAGCAGTATCCAAATACAATGGATGTAGTGATCACAATATAGTAGCCATATCTAGGAAAACCAAAGATCCAAAGGCTGGGCCTAATATAGTGGATAAGAGGTCATACAATAAGTTTTGTAGTGATTCCTATGTTGTTGATGTAAAGAAAATATGCTGGTCCATGGTGTGTAATGAGGAGTAAACAGACACTACACTTGACACATTTTATGAAATTGCTTATTCCAGTTACTAATAAGCATGCATCCATTAAGAAAATGACTAAAAACTGTTTGAGGAATTGAAAAATTGTATGGTTGAGAGGGATGAGGCAAAAGGCATGCCAAATAAGTCTGGCTGCACAACCGATTGGCAAACATACTGCAAATTGAGAAATCATGTGCCTAAACTGAATAAAAAGAAGAAACAACAACACTATGAAACAAAAATAAATGACATAAAGAATGATAGTAAAAAGCTTTGGAGCACCTTAAATGAAATTTGGGGGGAAAAGGCAAACTCGGCTCCATCAATCAGATGGCTCATTCATCACAAAACCAACTGATATTGGCAACTACTTTTAATAATTTTTTCATTGGCAAGATTAGCAAACTTAGGCATGACATGCCAGCAACAATTGCTGACACTACACATCCAAGTATATCTGACCTAATTATGAAAGATTAGCATTGTAATTTTGAATTCTGTAAAGTGAGTGTGGAAGAGGTGAACAAATTGTTGTCTATTACCAATGACAAGCCACCAGGGTCTGACAACTTGGATGAAAAATTGCTGAGGATAATAGCGGACGATATTGCCACTCCTATTTGCCATATCTTCAATTTAAGCCTACTAGAAAGTGTGTGCCCCAGGCTTGGAGGGAAGCTAAAGTCATTCTGCTACCTAAGAATAGCCCCCTTTACTGGCTCAAACAGCCAACCAATCAGCCTGTTACCAACCCTTAGGAAACTATTGGAAAAAATTGTGTTTGACCAGATACAATGCTATTTTACTGTAAACAAATTGACAACAAACTTTCAGCATGCTTATAGAGAAGGACATTCAACAAGCACAGCACTTACACAAATGACTGATTGGCTGAGAGAAATTGATGATAAAAAGATTGGGGGGGCTGTTTTTGTTTGACTTCAGTGCAGCTTTTGACATTATTGATCATAGTCTGCTGCTGGAAAAACTTGTGTTATGGCTTTAATATGGATAAAGAGTTACTTGTCTAACAGAACACAGAGGGTGTCCTTTAATAGAAGCCTCTCAAACATAATCCAGGTAGAATCAGGAATTCTCCAGGGCAGCTGTCTAGGCCCCTTACTTTTTTCCATCTTTACTAATGACATGCCACTGGCCTTGAGTAAAGTATGTATGCGGATGACTCAACATTATACACGTCAGCTACTACAGCAACTGAAATAACTGCAACACTTAACAAAGAGTTGCAGTTACTTTTGGAATGGGTGGCAAGGAATAAATTAGTCCTGAATATTTCCAAAACTAAAAGCATTGCATTTGGGTCAAATCATTCACTAAACCCTCAACCTCAACTACATCTCGTAATGAATAATGTGGAAATTGAGCAAGTTGAGGTGACTAAACTGCTTGGAGTAACCCTGGATTGTAGACTGTCATGGTCAAAGCATTGATATAACAGTAGCTAGGATGGGGAGAAGTATGTCCATAATAAAGCGCTGCTCTGCCTTCTTAACAACACTATCAACAAGGCAGGTCCTACAGGCCCTAGTTTTGTCGCACCTGGACTACTGTTCAGTAGTGTGGTCAGGTGACACAAAGAGGGACTTAAGAAAATTGCAGTTGGCTCAGAACAGGGCAGCACGGCTGGCCCTTAGAAGTACACGGAGAGCTAACATTGATGACATGCATGTCAGTCTCTCCTGGCTCAGAGTGGAAGAGATTGACTTCATCAGTGCTTGTTTTTGTGAGGTGTCGATGAGCTGAATGTACCGAGCTGTCTGTTTTGGACTACTGTCACACAGCTCGGACACCCATGTATACCCCACAAGACATGCCACCAGAGGTCTCTTCACAGTCCCCAAGTCCAGAACGGACTATGGGAGGCGCACAGTACAACATGAAACTATTCCACCTCAGGTAACTGATCCAAGCAGTAGAATCAGAATTAAAAAACAGTAAAAAATACACCTTGTGGAACAGCAAGGACTGTGAAGAGACATGCACACATACATATAGACACTCACTCTACACACACATACACATGGATGTTGTATTGTAAATATGTGATAGTGGAGGAGTGGCCTGAGGGAACACACTAAATGTATTGTAAATATAATGTCATGTAATATTTTAAATGGTATATAACTGCCTTAATGTTGCAGGACCCCAGGAAGAGTAGCTGCTGCCTTGGCAACAGCTAATGTGGATCCTTAATAAATACAAATACTAAATACAGTCCCACCTTCACCACTACCACCCTCATAGGTAGCCAACTAAACACAGTCCCACCTTCACCACCACCCTCATAGGTAGCCAACTAAACCCAGTCCCACCTTCACCACCACCACCACCCTCATAGGTAACCAACTAAACACAGACCCACCTTCACCACCACCACCACCACCCTCATAGGTAACCAACTAAACACAGACCCACCTTCACCACCACTACCACCCTCATAGGTAACCAACTAAACAGTCCCACCTTCACCACCCTCATAGGTAACCAACTAAACAGTCCCACCTTCACCACCACTACCACCCTCATAGGTAGCCAACTAAACACAGTCCCATCCTCATAGGTAACCAACTAAACTAGGTTCGTCCTACAACCTTTTTAGACACATGGGAAACGCAGTGTTTCCTTGCTTCATCATTATAGGCAGTAGGTAGAGGGTTCAGGAGGTTGGCGGTGGGTGCTGTTGAATCTGTTGCTCTGAGATGCCGTTTGCCGCAGAGCTCCTCAGCTTTCTGAAGGGGTGCACACAACGCGGTAGAGAGCAGCTTAATGCAGCCACAGTCCTCCAGTCCTCCAGAAACAGGAAACACCAAAGAGAACGCACACAACTCACAGGTCTCTCAATCTCTCCCTCTCTCTTTTAATCTCTACGTTACTTTCACTCATTGATGTATTTCTTTGTTGCATTGCTTCTGTCAATCAGAGGGAAGCTTGTTGTGGTTCTGCAGTATCTGTAGGGTTTTAGGTTATTGGGGTGTGGGATCCACCTCTTCTAAAAATACGGCTGGCCATAATAGTGTTGTATTCAGAGCTCAGTAAAAGGCTGAAAGCCCGAAAGGGGAACAAACCATTGTCTTGTTTCATCATGAATAGGAGGCCTGCCTATGAAATGTCATTATGTAATGATCTGATGCTGAGCAGATTCTCCTTCTCTGTTAGGTAACCCTCTGCTACTTTGACTTTTAACAACGGGAACCCTTTCCCTAACATGTTACAAAAGGGAGGGACTGATTTGATGCTTTGGTGAGTTTTGTTGACTTGATTAGGGACAGTCGTTGAACTTTGGCCTTTTTAGATTCAATCACTGAAGTACTCTCTAATTTCTCTAAAAGACTGGTGGGATAGTTCATTTTTTGGAGAATAATTGTAGCCATATTTTAACAATGAGAAAACGGTCAATTCAATTATCCTTGACCATTGTTACATATAAATCAAAGGTTATTTGTCACATGCACCGAATACAACAGGTGTATGTAGACCTTACAGTGAAATGCTTACTTACAAGCCCTTAACCAACAATGCAGGTAAGAAAAATAGTTAAGAAAATATTTACCAAATAAATTAATACAATAGAATAACAATAGCAAGGTTATATGCAGGGGGTACCGGTACCGAGTCAATGTGTGGGGGTACAGGTTAGTCGAGGAAATGTGTACATGTAGGTAGGGGTAAAGTGACTATGCATAGATAATAAACAGAGAGTAACAGCAGTGTAAAAACAAAGCGGGGGTCAATGTAAATAGTCCGGGTGGCCATTTTATTAATTGTTCAGCAGTCTTATGGCTTGGGGGTAGAAGCTGTTAAGGAGTCTTTTGGACCTAGACTTGGCGCACCGGTACCGCTTGCCGTGCGGTAGCAGAGAGAACAGTCTATGACTAGGGTGGCTGGAGTCTTTGACAATTTTGAGGTCCTTCCTCTGACACCGCCTGGTATAGAGGTCCTGGATGGTAGGAAGCTTGGCCCCAATAATGTACTGGACCGTACGCACTACCCTGTGTAGCGCTTTGCGGTCGGATGCCGAGCAGTTGCAATACCAGGCGGTGATGCAACCAGTCAGGATGCTCTCGATGGTGCAGCTGTACAACTTTTTGAGGATCTGAGGACCCGTGCCAAATCTTTTCAGTCTCCTGAGGGGGAGTAGGCATTTGGAAATTTTTAAGTTTAAATGTAGTTTTTATGATGGTGCATTGAGCTACTACTGCGCATTTAGCCCTCCAGTCTGCCCTCAGTATGCTGTTTTCCCTACTTCAAATAGTAATTACAGGCATGCACCTAACAGAGTTTCCACAAGTCCTGACACAGATCAATGCAACACACCAGAAAACCTTTTTAGTAACGGAATCAGTTCAATCATGGTGAAAATAGCAGTCTGTCCTCTGTTTTACCTCTGCATTTGCGTCATTCTGATTTGGTCAAGAGCAGATGTATAAAAAAAAAAGAGTGAAATAGTGAACTAATTTGAAATGCCCATCCCTAATTCAACCCTGAGCTCCTAACGTCTGTACTGTACAGTTGCTCTCCTGTCCTGCCTAGAGTTCTGCGGGTCACACTGAGTTCATGCTATTTAGACGGCAGGCAGCCTAGCTGGCCAGTAACCAAAAGATCTCTTGTTCAACTCCCCAAGCCGACTAAATGAATCATCTCTGTGCTCTTGAGCAAGGCACTTAACCCTAATTGCTCCTGTAAGTTGCTCTTCATAAGAGCGTCTGCTAAACGACTGAGAAGTAATATTTTCTAGAAACAGAGGAGAGCAGCTGTAGGCAGGGACTTCTTGGCCCAGTCACTAGTGTGTTGTAGAAAATGCAGCCACTATGCTGTCGTCACCAGCCTCGGTGAAGTCACTGGATCTGACACGGTCTTCACTATGTCTCATTCCTTCTCTCTCTCATGTGATGAGATTGAGCTTTCTAGTGCAGTACCATGCTAGCACTGTGTCATCCGAGTCAACTTGGGGCACGTAGCAGTAAAGCTACAAGTACTGCCTGCCTCAATGTACTATTTTGAGGTTCATTTTGCCCTTATTTGAACTTGAAGGCATTGCAAATGTGACTTGCAAAATCATCAATGCGTTAATTAATATATTTTCTCAGTTAGCTCTTTACTTTCTCTTCAGGTTCAGCTGTTCAGTGTTCCTATACCGCGGTTGTCCCTATACGCTGTGTATTAACCCCGTCCCTCCTGTGTCCCTGCCTCTCTCTCCAGGTTCAGCTGTTCAGTGTTCCTATACCGCGGTTGTCCCTATACGCTGTGTATTAACCCCGTCCCTCCTGTGTCCCTGCCTTCTCTCCAGGTCAGATGGTGGTGTGCACCCTGTGCTCCTGCGTCATGCAGACCAAGAGGATCTGGCTGTTCTCTGCTCACCTGCTCCCCCTGGTGGCCCGTCTCTGTCTGGTCCCCCTGGAGACCATTGTGTTCATCAACCGCTTCGCCATGATCTTCACAGGCCTCGAGGTCATCTATTTCCTGGCCACCAACCTGCTGGTGCCATACAACCTGGCCAAGACTGCCTACAGGGAGCTGGTGCAGGTAAAACTGTCTACTTGGCACAGAATTATTTTCATGCGTTTGTTTCTCTAACTAGAAGAGATTGTGAATACATTTATTACCTGATCGTCACTGTTCCCCCCCCACACACTCTGGAGACTGTAAATCTACCCGTTTTCTGAGGATCTATGCTGTCTTGAGGTGTTTTTATTTCTAGTAGCTAACCATGTCTGTGATATCCTCTCTTCCCTGTCCTGCTGTGCCCAGGTGGTGGAGGTGTATGGGCTGCTGGCTCTGGGGATGTCCCTGTGGAACCAGCTGGTTCTGCCCGTCCTCTTCATGTGCTTCTGGCTGGTGCTGTTTGCCCTGCAGATCTACAGCTACTTCAGTAGCCGGGACAAGCCCACCTCCAGAGAGAGGCTGCTCTTCCTCTTCCTCACCAGGTGGGACAGGCACTACAAACACGTCCTCTTCCTCACCAGGTGGGACCAGCCATACAAACACGTCCTCTTCCTCACCAGGTGGGACCAGCCATACAAACACGTCCTCTTCCTCACCAGGTGGGACCAGCCATACAAACACTTCCTCTTCCTCACCAGGTGGGACCAGCCATACAAACACTTCCTCTTCCTCACCAGGTGGGACCAGCCATACAAACACTTCCTCTTCCTCACCAGGTGGGACCAGCCATACAAACACTTCCTCTTCCTCACCAGGTGGGACCAGCCATACAAACACTTCCTCTTCCTCACCAGGTGGGACCAGCCATACAAACACTTCCTCTTCCTCACCAGGTGGGACCAGCCATACAAACACGTCCTCTTCCTCACCAGGTGGGACCAGCCATACAAACACGTCCTCTTCCTCACCAGGTGGGACCAGCCATACAAACACTTCCTCTTCCTCACCAGGTGGGACCAGCCATACAAACACTTCCTCTTCCTCACCAGGTGGGACCAGCCATACAAACACTTCCTCTTCCTCACCAGGTGGGACCAGCCATACAAACACTTCCTCTTCCTCACCAGGTGGGACCAGCCATACAAACACTTCCTCTTCCTCACCAGGTGGGACCAGCCATACAAACACTTCCTCTTCCTCACCAGGTGGGACCAGCCATACAAACACTTCCTTGGTATTTGTGTTTCTCTCTTGGAATGCTTATCCCTTGTGGAATGCGAGGAGTTTGAAACCCAAGTCGACCTGTTTTGCTGGAACTTTTTCACAACGTTATTGAGTCTCGAGTTCTACAATTTCACTCGTCTGTTTATTTCAATCAAAGAAAATGGGATGTGTGCCGTCTATAAGTTTAGTGAGTTAAGGCCCCCTGTCTCCTTGTCCCCTCAGTATTGCAGAGTGCTGCAGCACTCCCTACTCTCTGCTGGGCCTGGTCTTTACGGTTTCCTTCGTGGCGCTGGGTGTCCTCACCCTCTGCAAGTTCTACCTGCAGGGCTACCGGGCCTTCATGAATGACAACACCATGCACCGGTCAGTCAGCACCTGCCTTCTCATGTGATGTGTATTTATGTCGGTTATGTGTGTTATGAGGACTACAGGTTTGAACACTGAGGAACCTTTTTTCCTTTCTGACTGAAAGCACCACATTTTAAAGAGAAGACTGAACATTCACCCTACTTCTCTACCTCCCTCCATCTCAGGGGGATGACAGAGGGCATCACGATACTGATCCTGGCTGTACAGACGGGTCTGATCGAGCTGCAGGTCATCCACCGAGCCTTCCTCCTCAGTATCATCCTCTTCGTCGTGGTGGCCTCCATTCTACAGTCCATGCTGGAGATAGCTGACCCCATCGTACTGGCTCTGGGGGCCTCCCGGGACAAGTAAGTCATTCAAGGCTGATTTTGAAATGTGACTTTATTTTTGCACTACTTTTGACTAGGGCCCATAGGGTCATCCACACAGAGAGCGAGAGAAATGTATTTAACCTTTTATTTATACAGAGAAATGGAGAGCAGAGTAACTTCAAATGCCTCACTTCAAATGTAAACCCATTAAAAATTCCCCAACTATATGGTTAAATTCAACCCAACTTTATTAATCCCCTCCGAGGAGATTCCCTACTAATAGGTCTGTTGGTGTTTGCTCTGTTCAGGAGCCTGTGGAAGCACTTCCGGGCCGTGAGCCTGTGCCTGTTCCTGCTGGTGTTCCCAGCCTACATGGCCTACATGATCTGCCAGTTCTTCCACATGGACTTCTGGCTACTCATCATCATCTCCTCCAGCATCCTCACCTCACTGCAGGTACACACACCTGCGGCTCTGTTGCTGTGGACACACACACACACACACACACACACACCCCTCCGGCTCTGTTGCTGTGGACACACACACACACACACACACACACACACACCTCATGCTCTGTTGCTGTGGGGACACACACACCTCAGGCTCTGTTGCTGTGGGGACACACACACCTCAGGCTCTGTTGCTGTGGGGACACACACCTCAGGCTCTGTTGCTGTGGGGACACACACACCTCAGGCTCTGTTGCTGTGGGGACACACACACCTCAGGCTCTGTTGCTGTGGGGACACACACACCTCAGGCTCTGTTGCTGTGGGGACACACACACCTCATGCTCTGTTGCTGTGGGGACACACACACCTCATGCTCTGTTGCTGTGGGGACACACACCTCAGGCTCTGTTGCTGTGGGGACACACACCTCAGGCTCTGTTGCTGTGGGGGGACACACACATCAGGCTCTGTTGCTGTGGGGACACACACCTCAGGCTCTGTTGCTGTGGGGACACACACCTCAGGCTCTGTTGCTGTGGGGACACACACCTCAGGCTCTGTTGCTGTGGGGACACACACCTCAGGCTCTGTTGCTGTGGGGACACACACCTCAGGCTCTGTTGCTGTGGGGGGACACACCTCAGGCTCTGTTGCTGTGGGGGGACACACCTCAGGCTCTGTTGCTGTGGGGGGACACACACCTCAGGCTCTGTTGCTGTGGGGGGACACACACCTCAGGCTCTGTTGCTGTGGGGACACACACCTCATGCTCTGTTGCTGTGGGGGGGGACACACCTCAGGCTCTGTTGCTGTGGGGACACACACCTCAGGCTCTGTTGCTGTGGGGACACACACCTCAGGCTCTGTTGCTGTGGGGACACACACACCTCAGGCTCTGTTGCTGTTCGGACACACACACCTCAGGCTCTGTTGCTGTGGACACACACCTCAGGCTCTGTTGCTGTGGACACACACACCTCAGGCTCTGTTGCTGTGGGGACACACACCTCATGCTCTGTTGCTGTGGGGGGACACACTCCTCAGGCTCTGTTGCTGTGGGGGGACACACTCCTCAGGCTCTGTTGCTGTGGGGGGACACACACCTCCGGCTCTGTTGCTGTGGGGACACACACACCTCAGGCTCTGTTGCTGTGGGGACACACACACCTCAGGCTCTGTTGCTGTGGGGGGACACACACCTCCGGCTCTGTTGCTGTGGGGGGACACACACCTCCGGCTCTGTTGCTGTGGGGACACACACCTCAGGCTCTGTTGCTGTGGGGACACACACACCTCAGGCTCTGTTGCTGTGGACACACACACCTCATGCTCTGTTGCTGTGGGGGGACACACTCCTCATGCTCTGTTGCTGTGGGGACACACACCTCAGGCTCTGTTGCTGTGGGGACACACACCTCAGGCTCTGTTGCTGTGGGGACACACACACCTCAGGCTCTGTTGCTGTTCGGACACACACACCTCAGGCTCTGTTGCTGTTCGGACACACACACCTCAGGCTCTGTTGCTGTGGACACACACACCTCAGGCTCTGTTGCTGTGGACACACACACCTCAGGCTCTGTTGCTGTGGACACACACACCTCAGGCTCTGTTGCTGTGGACACACACACCTCAGGCTCTGTTGCTGTGGACACACACACCTCAGGCTCTGTTGCTGTGGACACACACACCTCAGGCGCTGTTGCTGTGGACACACACACCTCAGGCTCTGTTGCTGTGGACACACACACCTCAGGCTCTGTTGCTGTGGGGACACACACACCTCAGGCTCTGTTGCTGTGGGGACACACACACCTCAGGCTCTGTTGCTGTGGACACACACACCTCAGGCTCTGTTGCTGTGGACACACACACCTCAGGCTCTGTTGCTGTGGGGACACACACACCTCAGGCTCTGTTGCTGTGGGGACACACACACCTCAGGCTCTGTTGCTGTGGACACACACACCTCAGGCTCTGTTGCTGTGGACACACACACCTCAGGCTCTGTTGCTGTGGGGACACACACACCTCAGGCTCTGTTGCTGTGGGGACACACACACCTCAGGCTCTGTTGCTGTGGGGACACACACACCTCAGGCTCTGTTGCTGTGGGGACACACACACCTCAGGCTCTGTTGCTGTGGGGACACACACACCTCATGCTCTGTTGCTGTGGGGACACACACACCTCAGGCTCTTGCTGTGGACACACGGTGATGTGACGGGCACGGTAAGGACTGTAAGCTCCCATAGATGTGCCTGCTATTCCCTGCTTACCTGTGAGTATACGTTACCTCTGAAATATGGAAAGCCCTGTGGCCCTATGGTGTTTTGGATCTCCCTGAAATTAAATCAATAGAAAGGTCCTTTGGGTAAAGGATGTTTGGTATACCTTTTTTTGAAGTCTGTATCCAAAATGATTACTTCAGTAGCAGAGAGCCCACTCTGGAAATGTCATGTACTTGTAGAGTATGTTTTAAACAGTATGAACAAAATCAAAATGGTACTTAAAAATAAGAAATAAATGCAGTATTTGTAACTATCCCATAAAATAAATTGTATTCATAATCTAAACTCCTGTTTCAGATGACACTAATACTGGCTTTGTTGCTTCTATACATTAAAACCATTCATGTCTTAAAACCTGTTGAACATTTAATGTTAACTGGATGGCTGTGTAAAACGTATCTACATGAGAAAGCCATGAACATTACCTAGTAATGCCTGATACTATTAGAAAGCTCAGAAGCTTCCGCCACAAATTGACGGACAGTCTGATCGGCAAATGAGCGTTAAGGTGGGACTCCAGAGCCTCCAATGGCTGTGGATATTTAACCCGATACCCCAGAGTCATTCGAGGCCAACTGAATTGAAGCAGGGAAGCGGGGCTGTCAGACAGAACTATCGCGGCGCGATTTGGCCTAACAGAAGTTGATTTATAAGCAAATTTTAACTAATGTTTAAGATTAGGCCTGGGTAAGGCCAAAATGTCACAAGTTTCCCAACTTTAATTAGTTACTTCTCAATTATTTTGGATACAGATTTCAAAGGTATGCCAAACATCCTTCCCCCAAATGACCTTTCTATGGATTTCATTTCAGGAAGATCCAAAACAACATAAATATGTTTGGAATCGCCTTGGTGGTAGTTTTTAGAAGATTCTGGTACATCGACCTGAAGTGAACTGTAATAGAAAGGAATAGTGCAGATCTTACTGATTTTTAGTTTGTTCTAACTCTTAACCCTTAACCCTCCACCGCTTGCCCTAACGAAATGCTCCTACACCCACCCTCACTGTCCCTGTCTCCTACACCCACCCTCACTGTCCCTGTCTCCTACACCCACCCTCACTGTCCCTGTCTCCTACACCCACCCTCACTGTCCCTGTCTCCTACACCCACCCTCACTGTCTCTGTCTCCTGTCCCTGTCTCCTAACCCTAACCCTCTCTGTCTCCTAACCCTCTCCTAACCCTAACCCTCTCTGTCTCCTAACCCTCTCTGTCTCTGTCTCCTAACCCTCTCTGTCTCTGTCTCCTAACCCTCTCTGTCTCCTAACCCTCTCTGTCTCCTAACCCTCTCTGTCTCCTAACCCTCTCTGTCTCCTAACCCTCTCTGTCTCCTAACCCTCTCTGTCTCCTAACCCTCTCTGTCTCCTAACCCTCTCTGTCTCCTAACCCTCTCTGTCTCTGTCTCCTACACCCTCTCTGTCTCCTACACCCTCTCTGTCTCCTACACCCTCTCTGTCTCCTAACCCTCTCTGTCTCTGTCTCCTAACCCTCTGTCTCCTAACCCTCTCTGTCTCTGTCTCCTAACCGTCTCTGTCTCCTAACCCTCTCTGTCTCCTAACCCTCTCTGTCTCCTAACCCTCTCTGTCTCCTAACCCTCTCTGTCTCTGTCTCCTAACCCTCTGTCTCCTAACCCTCTCTGTCTCCTAACCCTCTCTGTCTCTGTCCCTGTCTCCTACTCTGTCTCTGTCTCCAAGGTGCTGGGCACCCTGCTCATCTACATCATCTTCATGGTGGAGGAGGTCCGTAAGGAGCCCGTGGAGAACATGGACGACGTCATCTACTACGTGAACGGGACCTACCGGCTGCTGGAGTTCCTGGTGGCGCTGGTGGTGGTGGCCTACGGCGTGTCGGAGACGGTGTTCGGGGAGTGGACGGTGATGGGCTCCACCATCATCTTCATCCACTCCTACTACAACGTGTGGCTGCGCGCCCAGCTGGGCTGGCAGAGCTTCCTGCTGCGGCGAGACGCCGTCAACAAGATCAAGAGCCTGCCCACCGCCTCTGACCTGCAGCTGGAGCAGTACAACGACATCTGCGCCATCTGCTACCAGGTTTGTGTGTGCGCGCACGTGCATGGGGAAAAGTGTGCATGCTTGCAGAGAAAAGTGAGTGATTGAGGCCAACATTATTGGTCTGATAAATGTGTTTAATAGCCCTCTTCTGGTTTAAATGGGACAATACAGCTAGAGGGGATATGAAATAGGTTCTGCTTCAACATAAAAAAAATTATATTATTAATAGAGAATGAAAGTTTAGTGTGAATAAGGATGTTATTATTAATAGAGAATGAAAGTTTAGTGTGAATAAGGATGTGGAACTTTGATACTTCCACTCATCAGAAAAGGGTCAATGTTGAATTTGGCGTTGTAGCAGACTTTTCTGTTCCAGTTGTTCAGTAGTTAACCATTCATTGTCTTTTCCCTTCCTGTAGGACATGAAGTCTGCCGTCATCACCCCCTGCAGCCACTTCTTCCATGCTGGCTGTCTCAAGAAGTGGCTCTATGTACAGGAGACCTGCCCCCTTTGTCACAAACCGCTGAAGAGCCAATCACAGCCCGCCAATGCCACTGCTGCACCCGCCCAGGACATTCTGCCAGCCAATCCCAACCCAGCAGAGGCTGGGCAAGGAGAGCCAGTGGCCGGTGCGGCTGAGGGGGACAAAACCGTTACTCATAACGGTGTTCCTGTTGAAGGGAGCCAAGCCAGCCCCTCTTCCTCCCCTGCTAACCCTGACCTAGAGCTTGAGGGCCAGGCAGAGGAAAGGGCCCTGGGCCCCCAGCAGACTGACACAGTGGACAGTGCGTGTTTGGAGGGCCAGGTTGCTGGTCTGTCACAGGGCTCAGGGGAGTCATGTCTCCGGCATCGCCAGCGCCAGCAGTCTGCCTCCTCCCCTGCTGCAACAGCGTCCACAGTATGTGCAGCTGAACTCCAGTCACAACTACAACAGTCTGCCAGCCCCTGCTGCCTCTGAACCTCAGTCTTCTGAGCCTCACTCCTGCACACCGCTAAAGACTATTCATCCTCAACTGGCCAATACGTATAACCAAGATGGAGGTTGCTGGTTAACTGTTGGACTGACTCCATGTTGCCACTATCCCCCTTAATGAACTCCCATCTATTTGTTGGCCTGTTTCTTAAGTTTGGTTTTAAACTCATTAACAATTCATGGTTACTTCGTTTAATTCCAGTACATTTCATGGTAATTAATCCTATAGGATTGTATGAAATGAAATCTGATGCAGACTTCAGTGATGTTTGATTCTGAAACGCCATACTACACATCCATTTCATTTCACTGTTGAGAAATATGCATCGATTTCTCTCACTTGTGCTAGCCGGAACGACTCCCAGGAGCAGATCTCCTGTTTCTGTAGCATAGGGCAGGTTGATGTACAAGTACAGCCCCTGGACAGGACACTGGTCCAGGGGCAGGCGACCCTGGTCCTGGGGCAGGCGACCCTGGTCCTGGGGCAGGCGACCCTTGTCCTGGGGCAGGCGACCCTGGTCCAGGGGCAGGCGACCCTGGTCCTGGAGGGCCGCAGGTACTTCATGTTTTTGGTTTAACCGACCTGGAAGACCAGGTGTGTTGAATTTAGTCAATCACTGAACTGATCAATTATCTCCAGTTGGTCAGGCCTAGTTGGAACAAAACCATGCAGTACCTGCTGCATTCCAGGAAGAGGGTTGCCTACCCCTGCTCTAGTCTATCGCAGGGCCTTACCCCCAATCTATCTCTTTAACGCAGAGTCCCAAGTAGATACCAGTTGGGTCCCATTTATTTGGTATGACTGGGCTGGGATTGAACTCACAACCTTCCAATTTCTGGGTGGAAACGCTAAACACAAGGCCACTGAGTTTGTTTAACAACAAAATGCAGCTTTGAACTTGACAGTTGCAGGGGTCATTATACTGTACATCTATTAAGCAGAAGACAAACACAGCCACAACATTTTGTAGTTTCATTAACGCTCATTCAGCTTCCCAATATATTCCAATTGGGCTGTATTTCACTTGTCTTGAATCAAGTGCTAATTATATTAAGGAATTTTTACTCAACTTTTACCCTCTTTAGATCACTAACGTTAGCTCAGTTATTCGCCACTCCCAAGTGTTTCCCCTCCTTCTCACCTACCTGGTTGGGCCTTGCCCTGTGGCCCACTCCCACACACCTTGTTTGCCTGATGATCTGTTACACATCAAATGGACTGTTACCAAGTCCAGGCACAGGGTAGGGTGGGTGGGGCAGAGCAGGGTGTATAGGTGGGGGAGACCACAGTGCTCACCGGGTGTGTTAGATTAAATGAATTCATACTGAAGAGAAGACATGGCACTTGATTTAGAAGCTTTACACACGCTTAGGCTTGCACGCCGTCACCGTCTGGTAGCTGTAGAAACTTTATTTTAATGATATGTAATGTAGCCATTTGCACTGTTGTTTTTTTATAGCGACGCTCCAAAGTTGTCTTTGTCAAGTATGAAATATTTTTGGTATGTATGAGGAAAAACCCTATATAAATGTGTGTGTATATAAACATTCATATTATATGTGAATAGGAATTTTGATATGCCTGCCATTCAGTGTTAAAGCTGCACCACCCAATATGAAGTGATCTGAGGCTTGTGTGAACACTTTAGTGCCCTCTCGGTAGAAGTGTGAAGAGAGCTGATCACAGATTGAGAGAGTTGCCAACACTGAATTTACCTAAAACAGTATTATTTGGACATTTGTTTAGTTTTTTGAGAATGAATACATAGTATTATGTATGATCAAACTTGTCAAATGCTCCTTAAATTAATTTGTAGGGAGTTGGACATGTTCTTGAAGGGATATTGGGAGAAGCGGCTAAGAGTGTATAGTATTTTACATACATCATGACATTGACATTTGAAGAGGACTTATTTTTTAGCATTTGAAATACATTCCTATTTGGAATGTAATGTTTCTTTTGAGAAGCCCTACAAATTCATTATTTTTTGGTTCTTTTTATGTTTTCTTTTTTTAATACAAAAAAGAATGACATGCTCTGTGAATGCTGATTTCCAATCAAATTGTTTGGTGAGAAATGTGCCTGGTGTTGCCTTTACTTTACAAAACTGCTGAATGTCAAATAAATTCAACCATCCAATTTTAACCAGCAGTCTGAACAAAGTCTTGGTGATTTTATTGTTGAAGATGGGGATGGATCGGCCACAACTTCCAACATCACCATGCAAGCTCTATCCTGGAACCCACAAGCTCTATCCTGGAACCCACAAGCTTCTATCCTGGAACCCACAAGCTTCTATCCTGGAACCCACAAGCTTCTATCCTGGAACCCACAAGCTTCTATCCTGGAACCCACAAGCTTCTATCCTGGAACCCACAAGCTTCTATCCTGGAATGATCACAAAGGATCAATGGCAAAGATTGGTGGTATACACTCTATACCATCTCTATGATATAAACCCACACATCCAGGAGATGGTGCAAAAAGAGGAGTCTATCTATTTATATGGTTCTCGCTCACTCATGGGGATAATCTCAATTGCATACTCCTCGCTTCCTCAAAACCCATTGGATTAGAAAGCCAGAGGTCCCCTCCCCTGCATTGTGTACAACTGCCCACAATGCAGACCTTCACCCGGAGGCCTGTTCTGAACAGGAGTATTATCTTGGCTGAATTGGTGGAGGAACTGAAAAAGAAATGCCTCAAGGCTGCCCCCCCCCCCGCTCTGTGCTATCCTGGACCTGGAGATATGGAGTGTGATTTCTGCACTGGGAGAAGGCAGAAAGCCCTCATGTCCTGCCTGGCCTCTTACTGTGAGACTCACCTCCAGCCTCACTATGAAGTAGCTCCATTAGAGAAGCACAAACTGGTCAAAGCCTCCACAGAACTACAGGAGAAGATCTGCTCTCATCATGACAAACTGCTGTAGGTTTACTGTCGCAGCGATCAGCAGTGTATCTGTTAACAGTGTGGTTTGGATGAACACAAAGGCCATGATACAGTCTCAGCTACAGCAGACAGGACTGAGAACCAGACCTACTCATAATGTTCAACTTAAGCAAAGTTTTAAAAGCAAGTAAAAATTATCTGAAGGTGGGAATAGTATGTGTCAAGGGTTTCTGAAATGTTTTGTAGTAGAATTGATTTAATTTTAAGATCTACAATGGATACGCTTCTCTGTCCACCCGGCACAGCCAGAAGAGGACTGGCCCACCCCTCAGAGCCTGGTTCCTCTCTAGGTTTCTTCCTAGGTTCCCACCTTTCTAGGAAGTTTTTCCTAGCCACGTGCTTCTACGTCTGCATTGTTTGGGGTTTTAGGCTGGGTTTCTGTATAGCACTTTGTGACATACATTTGATTTTATGTGAAATAGGTAATCATGGTTAATTTGTAAATCGGGATGTGCCGGAACAAAAATTCAGCGCAAGAGGGGGGGTGACCTGGGGAGTTCTGAGGTACCGGAACGCATGAGAAAAAAAAAGTAACCTTAATAATAAAGCATTGCATGCATATCATCGCATTTGGGTAGTGGCATAGAGCAGTAGAGTAGAGGCACATAGCCTAGGGTCCGGGGGGAAAACATTTCTGAAGAAAACAGTCCAAAACTGAGAGGAGCCGGATCCTGTTCATCCGGCAGGATCCGGCTCAAATTAAGCACTGGGTAATCATGGCAGTTAGTTTCTGTGATCTGAAACATTCAGGAAAGGCACACCTTCCACCTAGAGACAGCATTGCTGCAAATCAACACAATCGACTGATCAAATTACATTTACATTTTACATCCAGAGCGACTTACAGTTAGTGAGTGCATACATATTTTATTTTTCATACTGGCCCCCCGTGGGAATCGAACCCACAACCCTGGCGTTGCAAACGCCATGCTCTACCAACTGAGCTACATCCCTGCCGGCCATTCCCTCCCCTACCCTGGACGACGCTGGTCCAATTGTGTGCCGCCCCATCTGTCTTTGAAATTGAACTCAATGTGGATCGATACGATCTGCTGGACAGAGCAACAAAACTAAAATGTCGTAATTTGGTTAGGCCGTGGGTAGAATGGATGACTCCACGAGTACTGTTCAGAATGTTTAACTTGCAAAAGGAGACATTGATTGGACGGACCAGCTCCTAACATAGAACAAACCAGGGTTCCGTGCCAGGACCATATGCATAGAGTTAGATGGAGGACTCTAGATGGATAATAATCAGGTTTAGAATGGACATTGTCTTTGAGCGCTTCCACCAGTTTTAAAGTAGCCAACTGGGTGGGGATTCCTATAGGTTGGGAGCTATCTGCCAATGATCAGAGCATTGTCGTCTTCAAAATGGGTCATTCCACGAGGGCCTCCCGAGTGGCGCAGCGGTCTAAGGCACTGCATCGCAGTGCTAGAGGCGTCACTACAGACCCGGGTTCGATCCCAGGCTGTATCACAACCGGCCGTGATCGGGAGTCCCATAGGGTGGCGCACAATTGGCCCAGCGTCGTCCAGGTTAGGGGAGGGTTTGGCCGTGGGGGCTTTACTCATCGCGCTCTAGTGACTCCTTGTGGCGGGCTGGGTGCCTGCAGGCTGACCTCGGTCGTCAGTTGAACAGTGTTTCCTCTGACACATTGGTGCGGCTGGCTTCCGGGTTAAGCGGGCGGATGTTAAGAAGCACGGTTTGGCGGGTCATGTTTCGGAGGATGCATGACTCAACCTTCACCTCCCGAGCCCGTTGGGGAGTTGCAGTGATGAGACAAGGTTGAAATTGGGGAGAAAAAGAGGGTAAAGATGATGATAAATAAAATATGAATACCTTATTTACGTAATATTCAGACCCTTTGCTATGCTCAGGTGGATCCTGTTTCCATTGATTATCCTTTAGATGTTTCTACAACTTGATTGGACTCCATCTATGGTAAATACAATTGATCGGACATGATTTGGAAAGTTACACACCTGTCTATATAAGGTCCCACAGTTGACAGTGCATGTCAGAGCAAAAACC